ACGACGATGTTTTTTTTGGTACCTTTTTTTCACCGGAAAGGACCCGTAAAGTGATAATGATTATCATCTACATATCACAACGTGCGTGGAGGCCATCAAACCACGTCAAATAATCAATTATGACGCAGGTATCGTATTAATTGATCTGCATCAACTTAACGTAAAAACAACTTCAGACAATACAAATCAGCGACACTGAATACGGGGCAACCTCATGTCAACGAAGAACAGAACCCGCAGAACAACAACCCGCAACATCCGCTTTCCTAACCAAATGATTGAACAAATTAACATCGCTCTTGAGCAAAAAGGGTCCGGGAATTTCTCAGCCTGGGCTTCACTGAAGCCTGCCGTCGGAGACTAACGTCAGAAAAGAGAGCATATACATCAATTAAAAGTGATGAAGAATGAACATCCCGCGTTCTTCCCTCCGAACAGGACGATATTGTAAATTCACTTAATTACGAGGGCATTGCAGTAATTGAGTTGCAGTTTTACCACTTTCCTGACAGTGACAGACTGCGTGTTGGCTCTGTCACAGACTAAATAGTTTGAATGATTAGCAGTTATGGTGATCAGTCAACCACCAGGGAATAATCCTTCATATTATTATCGTGCTTCACCAACGCTGCCTCAATTGCTCTGAATGCTTCCAGAGACACCTTATGTTCTATACATGCAATTACAACATCAGGGTAACTCATAGAAATGGTGCTATTAAGCATATTTTTTACACGAATCAGATCCACGGAGGGATCATCAGCAGATTGTTCTTTATTCATTTTGTCGCTCCATGCGCTTGCTCTTCATCTAGCGGTTAAAATATTACTTCAAATCTTTCTGTATGAAGATTTGAGCACGTTGGCCTTACATACATCTGTCGGTTGTATTTCCCTCCAGAATGCCAGCAGGACCGCACTTTGTTACGCAACCAATACTATTAAGTGAAAACATTCCTAATATTTGACATAAATCATCAACAAAACACAAGGAGGTCAGACCAGATTGAAACGATAAAAACGATAATGCAAACTACGCGCCCTCGTATCACATGGAAGGTTTTACCAATGGCTCAGGTTGCCATTTTTAAAGAAATATTCGATCAAGTGCGAAAAGATTTAGACTGTGAATTGTTTTATTCTGAACTAAAACGTCACAACGTCTCACATTATATTTACTATCTAGCCACAGATAATATTCACATCGTGTTAGAAAACGATAACACCGTGTTAATAAAAGGACTTAAAAAGGTTGTAAATGTTAAATTCTCAAGAAACACGCATCTTATAGAAACGTCCTATGATAGGTTGAAATCAAGAGAAATCACATTTCAGCAATACAGGGAAAATCTTGCTAAAGCAGGAGTTTTCCGATGGGTTACAAATATCCATGAACATAAAAGATATTACTATACCTTTGATAATTCATTACTATTTACTGAGAGCATTCAGAACACTACACAAATCTTTCCACGCTAAATCATAACGTCCGGTTTCTTCCGTGTCAGCACCGGGGCGTTGGCATAATGCAATACGTGTACGCGCTAAACCCTGTGTGCATCGTTTTAATTATTCCCGGACACTCCCGCAGAGAAGTTCCCCGTCAGGGCTGTGGACATAGTTAATCCGGGAATACAATGACGATTCATCGCACCTGACATACATTAATAAATATTAACAATATGAAATTTCAACTCATTGTTTAGGGTTTGTTTAATTTTCTACACATACGATTCTGCGAACTTCAAAAAGCATCGGGAATAACACCATGAAAAAAATGCTACTCGCTACTGCGCTGGCCCTGCTTATTACAGGATGTGCTCAACAGACGTTTACTGTTCAAAACAAACCGGCAGCAGTAGCACCAAAGGAAACCATCACCCATCATTTCTTCGTTTCTGGAATTGGGCAGAAGAAAACTGTCGATGCAGCCAAAATTTGTGGCGGCGCAGAAAATGTTGTTAAAACAGAAACCCAGCAAACATTCGTAAATGGATTGCTCGGTTTTATTACTTTAGGCATTTATACTCCGCTGGAAGCGCGTGTATTGCTCACAATAATTGCATGAGTTGCCCATCGATATGGGCAACCTCTATCTGCACTCGCTCATTAATATACTTCTGGGTTCCTTCCAGTTGTTTTTGCATAGTGATCAGCCTCTCTCTGAGGGTGAAATAATCCCGTTCAGCGGTGTCTGCCAGTCGGGGGAGGCTGCATTATCCACGCCGGAGGCGGTGGTGGCTTCACGCACTGACTGACAGACTGCTTTGATGTGCAACCGACGACGACCAGCGGCAACATCATCACGCAGAGCATCATTTTCAGCTTTAGCATCAGCTAACTCCTTCGTGTATTTTGCATCGAGCGCAGCAACATCACGCTGACGCATCTGCATGTCAGTAATTGCCGCGTTCGCCAGCTTCAGTTCTCTGGCATTTTTGTCGCGCTGGGCTTTGTAGGTAATGGCGTTATCACGGTAATGATTAACAGCCCATGACAGGCAGACGATGATGCAGATAACCAGAGCGGAGATAATCGCGGTGACTCTGCTCATACATCAATCTCTCTGACCGTTCCGCCCGCTTCTTTGAATTTTGCAATCAGGCTGTCAGCCTTATGCTCGAACTGACCATAACCAGCGCCCGGCAGTGAAGCCCAGATATTGCTGCAACGGTCGATTGCCTGACGGATATCACCACGATCAATCATAGGTAAAGCGCCACGCTCCTTAATCTGCTGCAATGCCACAGCGTCCTGACTTTTCGGAGAGAAGTCTTTCAGGCCAAGCTGCTTGCGGTAGGCATCCCACCAACGGGAAAGAAGCTGGTAGCGTCCGGCGCCTGTTGATTTGAGTTTTGGGTTTAGCGTGACAAGTTTGCGAGGGTGATCGGAGTACTCGGTAAACAGCTCGCCGCCTACAATGACGTCATAACCATGATTTCTGGTTTTCTGACGTCCGTTATCAGTTCCCTCCGACCACGCCAGCATATCGAGGAACGCCTTACGTTGATTATTGATTTCTACCATCTTCTACTCCGGCTTTTTTAGCAGCGAAGCGTTTGATAAGCGAACCAATCGAGTCAGTACCGATGTAGCCGATAAACACGCTCGTTATATAAGCGAGATTGCTACTTAGTCCGGCGAAGTCGAGAAGGTCACGAATGAACTAGGCGATAATGGCGCACATCGTTGCGTCGATTACTGTTTTTGTAAACGCACCGCCATTATATCTGCCGCGAAGGTACGCCATTGCAAACGCAAGGATTGCCCCGATGCCTTGTTCCTTTGCCGCGAGAATGGCGGCCAACAGGTCATGTTTTTCTGGCATCTTCATGTCTTACCCCCAATAAGGGGATTTGCTCTATTTAATTAGGAATAAGGTCGATTACTGATAGAACAAATCCAGGCTACTGTGTTTAGTAATCAGATTTGTTCGTGACCGATATGCACGGGCAAAACGGCAGGAGGTTGTTAGCGGCAAAAAATTCCAAAAAAAATCTTAAAATAATGATTCTATTGTACAATCTCTATTAATGGTTCCATGCCAACACTTCTGTCCATGTTATTGCATAGTGGACTCCACTGCTTTCTGTTTCCTACTTCAACCTAATGGCAAATTTCTGGTTGTAAGACTTTCTAAGGCTGTTTGTGATGGTGGAAACTAATCAAATCAATTCATCTATGCTAAATCCACCTTGCCATCAATAGTTATTTAGTAGACATTTGTCCTGATTCAACTTCAGACCTCCTTTTTGCTATAACGCCATCTTACTCAACCTGGTTGCGAAGAAAAGGGTCCTCCTAGCTTCTAAGTTCGAACAATAATGTAAAACATGCTCGGAATTCCTTAGAGGCTGATCTCATCAGGAATTCTCAAACAAAATTCAAGTTGTGACATTATTTGTATTAAAGAATAAAGTATACTTTAATAGCTTCATTTAAAATCTTTCATCAGAGTAGTAGATCTGTGATTGCATAATATAAGAAACCATCATTTCAAAATTCTGACAAATGTCTGAGAATTGGACATTTATTTTGAAGAATATTTGAGATCCTTAGTGAGCCCTTATCCAATTGGTATTCATGCAAGAGCATTATGTGAAATTTTCCAGAAAGGCAACTAGAGAAGAGGGCAACATAGTCCATGGGTTCACTGACACGTATTCAATAGAGTTCTCTTCTTTTGCTTCATGCAAACATGTACTTTATGCAATCATTTTCAAGTGAGTTTGGAAGGAAGGATGGATTACTAAGTTCCATAAATATAGCTTTCTGAGCTGAAAAAGGTCTTTCGTAAGTACATGCACAAATGCCTGTCCTAAATATGTGGCCTGATGCATGCTTACATGCGGCATGCCCTCATTGTCACATGCAATGCCACTGTAATGTCCCAGGGTGTAATCTTTTATATCACTTAATATTCATGGTGTTTCACTCTTGTACTCTTTGAGATGTTATATAGAATCTGCAATTGTTTTGTGCTAACCTGGTGGGCCCTTTCATTTGCAGGTTTTTGATAGAGCAAATTAGATTTCTTTTCAAATGATACCTGGTTACGCTTTTCTTTACTTGTCAAAATGACTTGCAACTAATTGGTTGTTTTTGTTTCAAGATTGCTTGTGCTACAGCTGGAGAGGCTAAAATGTGGATGGAGGCATTTGAGCACGGAAAGCAACAGGTACGAGGAAGTTGACTTGAATGCAGTAAATAACTGGTCTCATATTGATTTTATATATAATATCAGAGGTAGTTTTGCATGTATGATCATCATGGCAAAACCAATTACAACTGCATCATTTAGTATATTGTATTATGCTATATTAAAGGGTTCCTTGAAAAATGTGATATCTCACACTGGGTAAATCCTTAATCCTTCCCCTTCATACTAAGACTTCAGAATGTTCTTGTGAATTATGGCCAATACCAGGTATATAAGCAGTTATTTCTAATCCAGAGGTTAATCATACTCTGGCTACTTTACGCAAGGCAGGGTTTGGTTTTTGGGGTGATAATGGAAAAGTTGACAGATAAGTCACCCTTACTGCCACTCTACAGAACTGTACTTGAGATTTTCACCTCATTAATTTGTTATGTTTGGTTTCCTTCCTGACAATTCAAAACATTTACTTGGTCCTTGTCTTGATGACGTAACTTCTTGTTTTTGTTGTGAAAAATTTGGTACATAGTGTAAGTATGTGATGCAGGACAGCTTAGGGGCTGCTCTGGATCTGAGTTTGGAGGCTGTTTAGGGGTGTTTATGGTTGTATTGAAATCGGTTTCTACTTGGAATTGTAGAAGTATTAGAGTCACACTAATAGGGTGTCTAGGAGTCACACCTACAGGATAGGGAAACCTAAGCTTCACACCTTGGGTTCTTAGAAGTCACTCCTAAGGGAGATTAAGTCACACAATCAAAAGCAAAGTGCTGGAAATTATTTGATATTATTGCATTCCGAATATTGAAAGAATGCATACTATATTTATAGAGTTGTAGAAGTCCAAATCCAATTAGGACAAGGATTCCTAAACCTCCAAAATAACTATTCCTATTTAGAATAGGAAAACCTATAACTATTCCTATTTTGGAATAGCAAAACCTAATAACTGCAGGACTAAGAAAATAAAATACTAAACAGAAATAAAGCGTAGACCTACACAATTTCCAGATTTCCAGCAAACCTAAAAAAAATACTAAAACACCCTTTCATTCTATAATTTAAATAAAACATATAAATCTTAATCTTTTTTCATCCCCATCAGTATGTTTTCATCAAGTTGTCTCACGTTAGGCTCACAACAATGCTCTTTTGGCAGGCTGAATTCGAACTTTCAAGAGGAGGTAGTGCCAGAAACAAGCTGAACATGGAGACGGAGTATGCTTCCTACATGTGGATTGTCTTGTTTAAATATTTCTCCTTGGTTGAGTCTGTCTTGTTTAAATATTCTCCTTGGTTGAGTCTGTTTAGCAATTGGCATTGCTTGGATAATCATAGAGGATCTAGCAACCATATTCAGTGAGAACTGGAGGAATCTGATTTCTTGATGGAAAAAAAGTAATACTTGCACATATATATACATATATACGTCATTGTCATGTGTAATCTCCCCACATACTCATGTTACCTTAATCCTGGTTGTACTCATTGGTAATAATTTTCACAATCATGAATTAAAAAAAGGTTCCTTTTGTAGTCAGATAATTCTAATTCGCTAATTTCTTAGAAATGTAGGTATGATATCCATAGTTGGATTAATAATGGTTTCAGGTCTAAGTTATTCTTGGTGTATATTGATATTTGAATCTAGGTGACCAATTCAAAAATGCCCAAATGGTTGTAGATGTGAGAGTGTGAACTTTTTATTCCTTAAAATAAGTATTTAAAGATGCCCAAGCCCATCTTTATTAATTATTAGGTAGTATTTATATGTATTTCTTATCATCTTGTATTCTTATCCTATTCAAAAGACCATCACCTAGGGTCGGCAAGGGTTTGATTTTTTAAGAAACTTTTCGAATTATTCTGTTTATAAAGAGTAAAGTTGTTTCCTATTTCCATTTTTTTGGTCTTGGATGTGTAATGTTATTGTGTCTTGTATTTTTCTAACAAACATATAATGAGGAAAAAGTACAAACAGGGTGGGAACAGTTGGTTTGACTTGTTGATGGTCTATTGACTCCTCAAGAATACAGGCGTTTGAATCCTTGTGCTTGGTTATATACTTAAAACTAGGGAAACTAATGAAGTGTAGCCAAGTCTATAACACAACCCTATCCTGGGATAGCTTATAATTAATGCATGTAGGTTTTCTTATGTGTCACTGTAAATCTGTGGAATTTTATTGGCAATGCTTTTTTGTCATTCTTATTTTCTTTTAGTACTTTTTGCTTGGTTTACTGCAGAATTTTATTGTATGCTATTCTTGCTGAATTATCACAGTTTGATGTCCCTTTTCCTTTTTGTTTTGTAAGGATCATCAACCTAGAAGGACATCGACCTAGAGTGAGGCTATATGCTCATGGATTGAAAAGGTTAATAAGAATAGGACAAGGTGAGGTGGTACTCTCATTATTCATTAGCAAAATTGTAGCAACTCATTATGCATTGAAGATTTTTCCAATTGTCGTATACAGTGCTTGTCTTGGGCATGAATAATCAAAGTTAAGAGTGCATATTTTAGTAAAGTGCAGCGTTTTAAATTGTTTTTAAAATCCTAGGATCACTGCAAGACATTGGCTCTGCAGGTCTTCTAAGTATTCGTGTATTTCAATTTTCACAGTAATGTGTTTATGGATCACATCTGGAGTTGATTGGTTGTATACAAAAGTGGCAACTTTTGGGATGTTGTATGTTTGTGATGGAATGAATCTGACATAGAACTGTCTAGAGTACCAAGGTTATGGTGCAAATTTTCAGTACTCGTGTATGATAGATATGTTCCATCATATAAATTTCCCACTGGTACTTATCATGGTGTTGAGCGAGAAATAAGCAAAATTGCAGTGAGCTTAACAAGATCAAACCAACCGTTGTGACCAATGTCCACTAAAAAAATTAAATTTAGAGGAATTGTTTCTCTGTTGAGACTCTTCTATTCCAGCAACAGGAAACAAAAAGTTTGCTGGTTTGCAAAATAAACCTGGAAATCAATTCTTTGGCCACGATGATGTGTTCTGGCATTTTCTTAACATACAGGAAGATTATAACATATGTTGCATTGATCATTGAATGATTTGTCTGCGTCATTACCATTTTGTGTGTATTCCTTGTGTTATTATCCTTTCTTGGTAAAATCGTACAACAATTTAATTCTAATATTTTTGTCTTTGTTATAAGAAATTGGAAAGTTTAATGCTGAATGAAAATATTAATGCACTATACCCCTTAAATATGCTGAGTGAATGTTTGTATCCCTATTATTTGGTTGTTTACAAAATAAAATATTGATGAATTTTGTCAAATTGCTTCAACTCTTGATGCCAACTTTATATATTAGACATACTAACCTATCAATATGTGTGCCATAGAAATATTTATTGGCATGAAATAATCTTTAATGTTTTTTATTTTGAAATTTATTTTGCTAATTGTCTCTTTGTCTTTTATTATTGACAGGTCCAGAAACACTTCTCCGGCAATCCTCAAACTTGGCTTCTCGTGTTAGGCCTGATGGGCACTTTGAAGGGGACGTAGGAGATGCAATCGATTTTCATCAATGGAAATGTGTTCGTACAGTTCATGGTACATTTCTGTTAGGCAATTTTAATATTCCTATTTGCTGAGGGATGGTCATTGCTGTCTGGATAGTTCTCCCAAAAGCTCTTTCCTTGTCATTTTCTCTGGATATTTTGACCATTCACTTGTATTTTGTTTGAAGTACATCAGTCATATTCTTTGTGAACTTACTACTTATAAATATCTCTATTAGCACATGGATGTCCTAAATCCTTCATTTTGTATCCCATATTCTTATTTCTCATATGCCATCGTTGAGATGGAGAATTTCACCTATGTGGTTAGGATTCTCTATTTGTCTTTAAATTTTTTAGTTTAACTCTGGAGAAAAATGGACAACTTACTGTATAGTTTTGGTAAAATTATCATGGCTTCTCTGCTGGATTTGGGAGAAAAATATTAATGGATTTTTATGGAATAGCTAATATCCCACTATTAAAATCTCTGAGCTACAACAGAAGAGTCCAAAAAAGATAAGGCAGGGCCCAGATCTGCGATCAATTTATTAATGCCCACATAGGTATTTTTCAATGTTGATGATCCATACTATTAATAAGAAGAGAATGCTACTAGGATGGATAGAACAAATGAGCAGGGGAAAGAAAAGAAAATTGTTTTATGCTTTGGGCGTCCACAAAACTCATTTATAGCTTGTAACTGCAATCTCTCTACAGTCGATGGTTACTGGGCCTGCTAAAACATACAATAGAATCATTTAATTGACATAGAAATACTCAACATCTAGATATTTTACTACCTTTCCAATGTCGAGCATGATAGAATAGATTTCTATGGGTTTGACATGAAATTTGTTAACTCGGCCTTGATTTCCATGTCTAAATAATTTCTGTTGCTGTGGTTTCAGGTGTTCGAATATTCGAGGATGTGTCCAATTCCAAGGTTTTTGTTTCTCATGATATCCTGAATCCTGTATCGGACAATTTTTCTTGAATTCTCATGGAGAATTATCCTGGAAAACAGTCTTTAGTGTGATATCTCTCTTTTGTAATTACTTGAAAAATTGACATACATAGATTGTGAAAATTAAGATGCAAGATGTGAAGTCCACTATTGTGGGTGATTTGAATTCGTATGCATCTTACTTAGGTGTCTATGTTTGTAAATCATCTCCTTCTTCTTTTCTTCATGTTATCATTTAAGTTTTCTGATTGCGTTTTATATTGAGCTTAATATTGGAACTTTTACGAACTTAATAAATAGCCTCCAGTCTTGTTCTGCACTGATGCATTGGTATTCTTTGTAGAATGGTAAAGGTGTTCTTGTGAAGGCTGTTAGTGTGATTGAGGCAAGTGCTGATGCTGTTTTTGAAGTTGTTTTGAACCTTGACCCGCATCAGAGATATGAGTAAGTTTCTTGATTTGTCTTCTAGAGCTGTGTGAAATGATCATTAAATTTCTCTCTCTAATAATTCATTACAGGTGGGATACATTGACAGGCGACTTGGAGCTGTTAGATTCTTATGATGGACACTACGATGTTGTCTATGGCACATGTGATTCCAAATATCTTTCCCGGTAATGTCTTTAGGCTGGACTGTTGATACATTTTGCAAAATGTATAAAGTCTCTTTTGTTGGTTGCTGGATTGTTGCTAAAAAGTCCTTGCAGCTGAAAGGAAATATTTCTTCTCCCATTATTTTTTTCTTTGAGCGTATCTTGTAATCTTTCCACAATTATTAGAAATTAAAACCATGGTCTATTGTTTATCTCCCTCTTTATTTCCATTCCAGTCTGGATTTAACCGGCTAACTAATCACTTCCTAGTAAATGGATGGAGCTGGAAAGATGAAACTAAACTGCTTAAATATTTAAACTCACACCTGAGTTTTAGCTGAACTGAGAAACTTGTGCGTTCTATTTTTCGTCATCATTGTGCATCTTGTTGCAGAAGATACATTAAAGTTTGTTCTTTCAAATTTTAAGCTCATGCACAGTCTCAACCAGAAACTGCATATGCTAACCTGCTTGGACACATGTTATACTTCGAAACAACCACTATGCCACCTTTATATTTAATTATTATTACTTCAAGCAACCATGCCATTACTGTGCTTTGCATGCCAAAGTTTCTTATGCTTCTTGTAGAGATTGACTTTAAAATCTTGCACTTGTTAATTTGTTCTTATTTGTATTGTTTAACATCATGATTCATGAGGTTCTAGTAATTAAGTATTGAGTTGCTGCAATGATAGTTAGTTTTAAATGCATCGTGCTTCTTATTTCATCACTGAGCATTTACATGTTAGACAAACTGTTCCACAGGTGGCAATCAAATAGAGATTTTGTCTTCTCTAGGCAATGGTTTCACGGACAAGATGGAACATACAGTAAGCAAATATAATTAACTGATTTACAGTTGCTTGTAATTAGGTGTAACGCTATGTGATATGCTGTGAATTTTTTAGACCAAACTCTTTATCTGGTAATGTCTGGCACTGCCCCTTGTACATCTGGACCTAGATCTCCCAATCTGCACCCTTCATTCTCTTTCTGTGCCCAAAATTTGTTACTACTGCACAGCTATGTTAGAAGAAGTGGCATAATGATGCTCAGATCATTTGCTACATGCTTAGATCAAGTTGGTTTTTAAGTCTTAGACAATCTTTGCATACTTGGCCCTATATTTGTTGGATTAGTTTAACATCATCACTAGTTAATAAGCTTGTTGAATTGCCACTAACCATTATGGTACCTGCCTGAAGAATGGTTAATTGTCCAATATAATGTGAACTATGGTGTTATCTGTTCTGAGAATCTATAGTTAGATTCTTGCTTTGATTTTATGTTTTCAACCTTCTTTCTTCTATGGTTCATTACATCAATTTCACTTGCCACCTCTGCTGTTGGCTAACATATGTCCATTTATTTCTGCAGCAATCTTGCAATTTCCTGCTGTGCATAAGAAGCGACCTCCAAGATCTGGATATCATCGGGAAAAAATCAACCGTAAGTGGATTCATCCTTTAAACTGCTAAAGTTTCATAAAACCTGAATTATTTGGTACTGATTACTGCCTCACAAATGTTACTATTATCAAGGAGTTAGACAATAAATTGGGTTTATTATGATACATTCAGCAGGGGATGGGATCTAAATATTTAAATCTTCAGTCTTATGAAGCATGTATATCTCCCTTACTTCAGTTAAATATGCTTGTATTGATGTGAAGATATACTGTTCCATTATCCCTCTCTAGTTCTCTCTCTCTCTCTCTCTTCATTCAGAATTTAAATCTTTGGATTACATTGTTGGTCCTTGTGAATGTCAAATAATTTGATTCCCTTGCTTGCTTGCTAGTCATATTATCTTGGTGCATGTCTGTATCCATGCAGATAACGAAGCTTTTTTTTTTCTGGTCATCTCTGATTGTTTTGTGTTAGGTTTCACTTTCATGTGCAAGATGATGATCTGCATAATATATGAAAAACTATCAATGGAAGACGTAAGCCTTCAATGATTTCTGTTTTGTGTTTATCTGTATTTTTCATGACTTTTAGCTTCTACATGGGAGATTAGAAATTTAAACACATCAATGGAGTCAAATTCAGCTAGATGTCTTGTGACACAAACGCTGGAGATACATGAAGCAGGACGGTGCAGATGGAAGAAAAATCACAGCTCAAAGTTTGAGAAGACTATTCCTTTTGCATTATTATCCCAAGTGGAAGGTTTGGTTTTGTTCCCTTCTTTATGTAGCACATAGCGTGATAAAAAGTTGTCTTTTAGGCCATCAAACATATATTGCCTCAGCCAAATGAGGTCTGTGAGAGATTTCAGAAAGTTTTGCAGTTCCTCTGAACGTCAACCCATGATATGACTCTTCATCAACCAAGAAACCAACTTCTCTGGTCTCCAGACTACGACTTTGACAAGAACTAACATGGTCATTGCATTTTCACATGTCCATTTTCTACTTGTTTATGTTTGCACCACAAATTGTATAAAATGGTCATCAATCGGGTTAAGGAAATCACCTTGTTGTTGGCAACTTTCATTTTTGTGACGATATCTCGTCTACTTAAGTGCCGGCACCTTATCATCCTTCTCTGAGTCTTTTTTCTCTCCTTCCAAATATGTTCTTTGTGCGCTCAGAATCCTGCCCATTTAATTTAATAGCTATTATAACCCAGGTAATAGTATTGCCCAATTATTTCATCAATAGAAACCTTCCTGGCAGTGAAATCATGTATGGTTTTGTGTAATTTTAGAAGGGTTAATTATTTGACTCTATGGCACAACTGCTAAACCGTTTCTTGTTGAAAATCATTTGTGACAATTTGAATTCTCATCGTACAGATTATATCTTAGACTGAACAATGGTGTCTCTCTGATTATAATGTTCCTTTAAAATAAAATTATTTTAGTGTTCAGTGTAAGCAAAGATGAAAGTTTATTATGAAAATATAGGTATGATATGTGGGACATCAAAATTTCAATAAATTTTTTATTCTTTCAGGAAGTTATTGAAAGTAAATCCTATGAAAGTAGGTTGCTGTAATTGTCTCTATGATCTTACTTGCAGTGGCAGTTAAATACCCTTGGTTCATTGTTGATCAGGTCTGAAAGAATATATTGCAGCAAATCCAGTTTTCAAATATGAACATTCCACTGCAGTTGTCCATTCTAAAATTTCTGATGCTGCCATCTCTGGCAGTGAATATGAGGATTCTGAAGTGCAGGATGAGTTTTATGATGCAATGGCTGCTGGCTCATCATCATCATCATCAGAAGAGAGTGATGATGACCATGAAGAAGCAAAGAAGGTTGTTTTTCTTTCTTTGAAAATAAATAGAGTACTTTCGATGTCTCATTTTTAGTTATAGTTGAACCCAACTTTCTTATAGATAGCAATCAAAATTTTTAAAGAACTCTCTTGTGGCAGGATGTGAAAGTGAAACTGAAGAATGTTTCATGGGCCATCAGAAGCTTTGCGTTGAAGCACACTTCAGGTCCTTTATTTTATTGGATGATAATAACCTTATTGGTCGTTAGTTGCTATTTCTTTCGCATTGATGTTACGCTTTTAGTTGCTTGAAAATTGTCTCCATTTCCAATAATAGTAGATATCACCTTCATGGTATACAAATAAAGATTTTCTTTTGGTGATAAAATTGTATATATCAATTTGGTCATATTGCCATTATAGTTGATTTAAATGAGAGGAAAAATAAAAAAGAAAACAGTGCTTAAGATCAACCTTTTGTCTGTGTTTTTAATAAGCACTAAGGCTTAACTGACAATTGATTTCTTTTTCCCTTTCCATTGTATAGTCTCAGTACTGTTCTATTTCAAATGCAGATCCAGATGCAAGCAAGGACCTGGATTCGAGTATAGCTCCAATCAGTATTGATCCAAGCCAATTTCATGGTTCTCTCAACAAAGGAAAGGATGAAAATGACTCTGACTGTTGGACTTCTCCTAGTGGCACAGGATTTATGATTAGAGGAAAGACTTATCTAAAAGATAGCACTAAGGTTGGTTCTTCTTTCTTTTCAAAATATTGTTAATATCTTATTCATCTTATTATAAGATCAAAATGAAAGGTATTGCTCATTTGCTCTGTGTTTTGTGCTGTATGTTTTGCATTTAAATGCAAAGTAGAGGTTGTATCGTCTAACAAAACTGATATTTTATGGATGAGTTATTGAGTTGACGATGAAAACTATATTGTTCTTTTGAATTCTGATTTATGAGTAGCATTATTTTTTCCTGGATCAAAATGGCATGCATACCTTTTTGCAGGTAATGGGAGGAGATCCCCTTCTCAAGCTAATTGCAGTTGATTGGTTCAAGGTTGACAAGGCCATAGATGGGATTTCACTTCATCCCAGGTGTCTAGTGCAGGTACTGTATGTTCAATTTTCACTTTTTCTTTATCTCTGATATAGTACTTAAAATCGTGAAACCAATCCTTTCTGACCTTTCCATTTAACATCTCTCCATGGACTAATACCTATGTAATGATCTCTGATTGGGAACCCTGTTTTGCTTGATAGTCTGATATACACCTATTTAATAGCTTCCTTTAAGCTATGCAATTTGATTAGGAGAGTTGAAGCTAATTGTAGATTTGAATGTTTCATAGTTACTGTAGTTTAAGAACTGTGTGCTCTTTAAAATTATATTAGAGGAATATTGTTTCAAATCAAAAGCCCGGTATTTAGTTGGAACAATCTTGCAACTCTTCTTTGTTATTTGATTATTCATATTTAAGTGGACACTACCAAGTTGCCTCTTGAAAGTTATATTAACTTCATATTTCAGCTTTTAGATTTTTTTACCTGACTTCTACTGGAATCAGATGATCTCTTGGTTTTCTATTCTTCTCTTCCACCTTGGATGATGACTTGTCTTGTTACAATGTGTGTGAACCTTCTTCTATTAACAAAATCTCAATTTTATCTGAAAAGGAGGTGCAGTTCTGTTCTTAAAGAGAAATGTAGTTCTATGTAATTTGAATGGCCATTTATACACTGACTGTACCTTATGAATTTCAGAAAGAAGCTGGAAAAAAGCTCCCTTTCATTCTGGTCATTAATCTCCAGGTATGCAGATGAATGCATTCCAATATCTTTCAATTCGACTTGTCTTAAAAGTATTTAGAACTTGGAAATTAGAAAGTTAATGTTTACTCGATGATAAACTATTATTAAATATTCCCATGCCCGCTATATGCAAGTTTCACATTAGTTGCATGTATAATATAAAAATCTGATAGTTGCCTCTGAGTCTATATCAAATATGGATTTGAATTTCCATATGTACATATTCCATCTCCATTTTCACTTGTATTTATGAAACAATACACTTATTTGAAGTTAATGCTTATTCTTTCCAGTTTTATAAAGTGGTAGAATAAATCAAACTATATGCAAGTCTCGCATTAGTTATATAAAAACATAATTGTCTGTGTGAAAGATGCATTTGAATTTCCACGTTAATTTGCAGGATTTTCAAACTCTTTTAATCAAATATTATCAACCAAAAGGTCTCATTCATGTTTTAGATGATGAAGGATCTGCATGATGATAAATGTGTTTAGGATAATTGAACCATTGTTAGTTAAGTGGCTAGGCAATCGCTAGTTACTTTACAAAATGACACAAGCTGAGAGGCAGAGGTGTACTCTGATTGTCCACTGATCCTATGTTCTCCGGGGGAAACAAGGGGAAAGCCCCCTTTGGGTGCTAGATCATGTAGACAAAAGTTCTCATAGAACTTGGAAAGGTTAATTGCTAAAAATTTTCTAACAATAGAAAGACAAACGCTAATTTTGATGTCTATTAAATACACTGAACTCAACTCTACCTTAATTCAGAACTGTTGGCTATATGAACTCTTCTCCCCAATTTTCTTTCTAGACCATATTTTCAGTTAGATATTTACAAATCAAATCTACCTAACCTTTATTTTTTCAGACAAAGCCTGCAAAGAACATAGCCTTTTACTTTAGGTAATCCTAGCCTTACAACCTATTATAGGTCAATATAAAAAGACTGAGATTGTGGTAGGAAAAGGGAAAAGAGAGAGAGAGAGAGAGAGAGAGAGAGAGAGAGAGAGAGACCAAAATATGCCTAATCTTATGTAGCCTCTATACTTTAGAGGATGAAGATGATTTTAGATTCAATAGGTATGATGAATGGATTTGACAAACATCATTAACTTCTAATTTTTTTAGATATTCTCTGGTTTTAGAAGGTACTTGTTCTTTCAAAAAAGCATGTGTTCGTTTCATTATTCTGTTTCAGATTCCAGCAAAACCAAACTACAGTTTGGTTCTCTACTATGCTGCAGACAGACCGATAAACAAAAGTTCTTTGTTGGGTAAATTTGTTGATGGGACAGACTTGTTTCGGGATTCAAGATTCAAATTAATTCCTAGTATCATTGAGGTATTCCACTATGTTAAGATTATTATTAACATCTATAGCTTTTTCCTTGTTTTCCCTTTAATAAGTCCAGGCAGCTCATTGCTCTTCAAAATTAACAGGGGTATTGGATGGTCAAGCGTGCAGTTGGAACAAAAGCTTGCCTGTTGGGGAAAGCAGTAACCTGCAAGTACCTCAGACAAGATAATTTTTTGGAGGTAATATTCTCCCATACGTTCACTGCATCAGAAATTCAGAATCAAGCAGACTCTCTGCTTGGTATCATTCAGGACATATAATGAATTAAAAGTAATACGCTTTTCTTTGGTCGTGTTTCTTGAAACCAGACTGTGTGTTGGTAATTAATGCAGAGGGTCCTTCATTCTGTTTTGGAAAATATGATGCATTGTTTTCACATGAGATGTATGTTCTTGTACTTGGGTGGGAACAAAAAAAAAAAAACAAATATACGGATTTCACTAGCAAGTAATATGTTTCGGGTTGTGATTTTCTTGGATTTATTTGATTACTTAATCAGATAATTTTAACATTCATTCTGATCTGTTTTACTTATTTTGTCCAATTAGTTGGATAGGCAAACATAAGCAAATTTGTTGCATGCCATAATGCTTTCTCCCGTTGTTCTTTTAATTTACTGTTTTTGTGTTAAAACTTCTGTTGTGTAGATTGATGTTGACATTGGCTCATCATCTGTAGCAAGAGGGGTCATTGGCCTAGTCCTCGGATATGTCACAAGCCTGGTTGTTGATCTTGCAATTTTGATAGAGGTTTGGACCACTGTTATAAATCATCCATCTTTTTCTTTTCGTAACATAGTCTTGCCTAGCCATTGTACTAATGTTTCCTTCTGCTCTAAGCTTATATGAGCTTGAGGTTGGAAATGGTTATAAGGTTATAAACTGTGAGTTATTGCATTTTGTTCCCAACTGCATACCTTTACAATTAGTCTTACTTATCATACAGAGATTATTGTGCTTACAAATATTGACCTAGATGGCCTCCATGATAAAATTGAAAATTTGCTATTTAAGTTAAAGTACCTTATGGATGAACCCAACTAAAACGCATCAATTTCCTTTATGATTGTACTCCCTGCCAAATTGGTCACCTGATTGAAGACTTGTAACGGAACTAGTTATAGAGTTAATGATTGAGACAGGACCCAGGATCCAACGGCTGAAAATATGAAATTTATGATAAACACGATTAAACCTAGTTTTTTTTTTAAAAAAAAAAACCTTATCTACTCGCCTAGGGCTTTGTTGTGCAGCCATCTTGATAATTATTTTGTTTATTCCTTCTCCTAGTGCAGTAATTTTGGTTTTCTGGTGCTGTTCTTGTAGTTTCTATTTATAACTTATTTGAAAGTGTTAGGTATGCAATGTGCAATATTAATGATCATAGTTGTGTCTGTAGTGTTATAGTGTGTATGTTATAGTTATAGTGCCACTAAATGGTAATTTTGTGCTGAAATAATCTTAGTGAATCTTCATGTATGATTTCTGAATTGTTAACATGATCCTGAGTACATGTATGTGATAATCAACCGGCTATTAAATCTAGCTGTTTGCCCAGGCAAAAGAGGAGGCGGAGCTGCCTGAGTATATTCTTGGAACTGTCCGGCTAAATCGTCTGAGGCTCGAGTCAGCTGTACATTTGGAGTTTTAGGTTCGTATTCCTGTGATTGATGCTGTTATTTTTGGGCCTTCACTCTGATGATCTCCAATCTGGTATATATGATCGCAACAGGCATATTATGGTGATTTGAATTAGATGTATACTATGAATGGAAGGATAAATGGGTCCCCACATGGTGAGTTACAATTTCCGTGAAGATGAGTCAGGTGTGGCAGATCCCGCATCAGTTTGGTTTATAGGATTTACAAGGAGGATTAAACTTGAGTTAATGCTCATCCTGTAACTGGATTCCCTCATTTGATTGTCAGATTACAAAACTAGTGGTTGAGAACTTGTTCATGTGTCAAGAACATGAAGAACAAGGCTATATCTGCGGACAGGGATAAGTGTGCTGGGAGATACAATCTTGTATCCAAATCATTCGAACTCTTGATTTGTCAGAACGCTATTTTCAAAACCTAAGGTATTTGCAAGTCATGGTTCTTACTCGATTCTTCTTTTTTCAAATCAAAATGTAGGACATACTTCAAAACCTCCCCTGCCGTTGATCACTTCAACTATACACTGTCATCCATAATTTGTCAAAGCAGGTTTCATGTCTTATGTTGGTATAGCAAAACAAAAACAGTAATGGAAAAGAGTTGTTAAAGAATAGATTTGAATCAAAGAAATGTCCTTTTCTTCCATCACTTTACTAAATACTAACTCCACCCACCCACCCTTCCCCCTATCTTTATTTACTTTATTTGCATATGCATGCCATACTTTATGAATGATTGACGTTTTCTAGCTTGTAGAATGTTTATCTGTTATGTTTGGCACATTAGTTTCTGCACCAACCAGTATTTTTGACTGACTCGCTCTTCCCATATTAGCCCCTACAGAAAGTCAAAAGTATCCTTATACTTTCTTCCGTTACAGATAATTGTACAAGGTCCCAAATGGTCTTTTCTGTGTTCTTGTGGTGTCCTACTTGTGAGAAAGAAGAGGTGGGTATAATTATCGTAAAGATTAATATTTATGGTCGTATTTTGTTATAATTTGGTTAGCTTAAGGCATCAAATCAAGCATGAGCTCCTTCCTACTCTTTTGACTGCTTATAATGGGAATCCAATTCATTCAAAAGGAGTGAAAATTTCTTTTCCTAAAAAGCTGTGTTCATCACAGCCCCCAAGGCCACACGGTCGGTGGGATGTCCTTTTCATCCATGTCTCTGAGGAAATTTTTCTGCTAATTGCTCTCCTTTATCGCTCTGGACGATTCTGTTCTTTGCTTTAACGAGTGTCCGTATGCTGTGATAATATACGTACAGTGAATTCCTTGGTACAATAATAGGTGCGTAATGGCAGAGCTTGATTCTTGCTATACGCCTTCTATCTATTCAAAATATCATCTCTTTCATGCAGCTGAAAGAACTGTGGCCTTGAATTTATTGGCTCCACGACAGGTATTAGATTCATGGAAAAAGAGTAGGAAAAAATTGAAAGAAAAGATTTGCCATTCTCAACTGTGATTAATGCAATTATCCTAAGTTTTCAGACCCTGCTCATTCACACGAGGGAATATTGTCCAGGAGTAATTATTAGACGGAATCTGGCTCACCATAAGCCCAATCACATAATCACATAATCTGGCTTAGTTTTTGAATTTTTTTATTAGTTTTGAGAATTTCTAAATTTTTAATTTTTGGAGATTTAATTCATTAATGATTTTCAACTATAATCTTCATATTTAACACACACCTTAAAAAAAAACAATTCGTTCTGTAGAAAAATTCTGAATTTTTCAATATCAAAAACTATATTTATTTATGTTTTTAACATTAGAAATATAAAAAATTGGAAAAAAAAATAGAAATAACTCCCAAATCATCTTAATTTTTTTTAGAAGCTCTACATAAATTTCATTCAAATGATTTTCATCGTGAAACTATTTATGTGATTGTTATTTTTTAAGATAAATAATAAAAATTAAGGATTGGATTAAATTTGAAAATATTAAAAGTTTAAAGATTTTCAAAACCAATAAAAAAAATTTAAAATCTCAATTTTAAATGACTTAAAATTCAAAGATGATAAGAACTTTTAGATTTACGAAGTGATTTTTGGTCGATTACTTTTTACATATTTGATTAAATTTAAAAATATTAAAAGTTCAAAGATTTTTAAAACTAATAAAAATTCAAAAACTCAATTATAAATGATTTAAAAATTAGAGATGATAAGACCCTCTTGGACTTATGAAGTGGTTGTAGATCTATTACTTTGTGCATATGAACTCATGATGAGCTAGACTCTCATATGATAAGTTTTTGACACTTACAAGAATTTATTCTTTTAAAAGCACAAAGCTAGTATAAGAATGGGACCTTAAGATCGTTTTGTTTTGAACCAAAAATTAAAAAAAAAAAAAAAATACTGAAAAAAAGAACTTCTATATTATCACATTGAAAGCAAAGGGACCTGGCGGTTCATTCATTTAGCTGCAGAATTCCTGAGAGTAGTGACACAGTTTCTACAGTCCATATTAAATGATACCTAATCATAACATGCAATTGGGTGGGACTCCTCCCTCCTCTCATTGCCAGAATTATCTCATCACGGGGTCCCCGTGAGGGGTCTCAGGAAGCAGGACCCTCTCGTGATGTGATCATGGCTTATGACTGTTAGCACCAAAATATTCAGAACCTTGCACTGTTTCCCATACATATATGAACCAAGATATAGACATTTGAATATCTATGTGGCCTAAACTTTCTTATAAGGAACCAAAACTGTTTCCAGTAACGCTAATGAAGGACACGCATTTTTTCGTCCGTCACACTGAAACTTTTGCCTGCTCTGTCTATTTCCCACTTTTAAGAGTTTTGTCTCGAGTCCAGACAAAACCCTAGAGGAACATTTACGAGCAACTGGATATCTGATATCTAAAATGGTGCCTGCCCACTGCCCAGTTTAGGCTCAAAGACAAAACTAACTGCTTCAAGGGAGTGAAAATAAAACTTAAAAGGTGTAGCAGCTTTGTGCCAAGTTTAGCATTTCAAGCAGCAATTTCAGCTTCCTGTAAATGCTTGCTCTGCCGGAGAACGTAAACTCCTACTTTTCGTACGAGACATGTTAGGGCTGGTAGATTGGCGGTCCATGGTCAACTTCAAAGTTCAAACCCTAGAGATAGTGAGAAGATGACATAAGTGCCCTTGTAAATTGTAATTAATGCAAGATGAACCAAGATTACGCAACCCAAATAATTACAAGCTGTGATCTGTAGGCATCCATCTTGAAAACCACAGTACCACTGTTAAATAATGATGAGAGATATCTTTCTTCGTTAAGTTCACTTTGGTTTTACTCTCCATCAAATCTTGAAAACAAAAAAAGTTGATAGCACCGTCTTGGAGACGTTAAGTTTAATTATTAGATTGCATTAGGAAGCACGAAGGAAGCATTGAGCATTTACTGCCAACTGCCAAGGTTACACATATGTCAAGAACAGACTATAGATGGACCTTTAATGTCCTTCAAGGACACAAAAGGTTTAGTAAATCATAAATCAAGGAAAAAAGAGAGCTGCTTTTTTATCACCACTATTGTCTTTATTCTGTAACTTCTGTGCACCTGTTAATATCATTTCAATGGCTGGTCAATCCCAAAACAAGGGTTTAATTACATACCCTGGTGGCCTTGCCCTTAATTTAATACTCCCTCCAGAAGATGATCTGTTGCTCAACTTAATTTGGTTCCCTGGACGGAAAATCTGGATGATTTTTTTAGCCAAACATTTTCTTCAGTAGTGCTATGACATTTTGCTTTCAATTGTCCAAAACTAGGTTAGAACTGTAGCTATCATAATAATTGCCTAGTAATTGCACAGCTTTCTTAATTCTTATGATATTCTTTATTATAAAATAATGGTTCGCTTTATTCCTAACCTGCTAAGATTTGCTTATAACCATCCAACCAGAAGAGGATACAACAAGGCACTTTATCTACAAAATAAAATGGTAAGGATATAGATGATTAGGTTCGTGTTCCATAATGTTGATACCCCATTTCAAATTAGACACTGCTACTTACATATTTCATTTTCTCCGGTGAAAAGCAAGTAAAGATGCTTCAACATGTAAAAGCTCTAGTCCTTGGTGGCGAACACCATCCTAATTAACAATGGCCCTAATGGTCCCTTCTTGCCTCCAAAAGAAACTTGATTAATGGCAAATTCTCATATCACCTAATCCTTATTCGTCACTCCTTTCTTTTGTGCACTCTTTCTCTAGTCCCCATGCATCTCTCATCCAACAAAAACACAAACAATATAAACAGACCTTATTCTAAACTGACGGATATTTCTTTTACCTGGGGTTGTCAATAGTTGTCTTTCTTTCTTCTACACTTCCGAGTTCCGATGGAGATTTTCCATTGCTTGTACTTCGGAGTTCTCTTGGCCTTCACATTCGCAGTAGCAGTTGTCTTGGCTACTGATCCTTACTCAGAGGCTCTCTTGAGCTTAAAATCTGAGCTCGTTGATGATGATAACAGTTTGGATGATTGGTTAGTGCCTCCTGGAGGGAACACAGAAGAGAAAGTTCAAGCATGTTCTTGGTCTGGTGTCAAATGCAACCAGAATTCCACAGTCGTTATTGCTTTAGACCTGTCTATGAAGAATCTCCGTGGTGAATTATCAGGGAAGCAGTTTAGTGTCTTCACTGAGCTTGTTGATCTCAACTTCAGCTACAACTCATTCTCAGGGAAGCTTCCTTTGGGAATCTTTAACATAACTAATCTAAAAATCTTCGATATCAGCAGAAACAATTTTTCTGCCCAGTTTCCAGATGGAATCTCCGATCTTCGAAACCTGGTCGTGCTTGATGCCTTTAGCAACAGCTTTTCCGGGCCATTGCCAGTTGAAGTTTCCCAGCTTGAATTTCTCGAAGTTCTCAATCTGGCTGGGAGTTACTTTGATGGACCAATCCCATCAGAGTATGGTTCTTTCAAGAGCCTCGAGTTTATTCACCTGGCAGGTAACTTCCTCAGTGGTAGCATACCACCAGAACTAGGCCAACTCAAGACTGTGACCCATATGGAGATTGGCTACAATTCATATGAAGGAAGTATCCCGTGGCAATTGGGTAACATGAGTGAGCTTCAGTATCTTGATATAGCTGGTGCAAATCTATCTGGCCCAATACCAAAGCAACTCTCCAATCTCACCAAGCTAGAATCCCTATTTCTCTTCAGAAACCGGCTCACTGGATGGGTCCCCTGGGAGTTTAGCCAAATTGTGCCTCTTGCAAGCTTAGATCTTTCTGATAATCAACTTTCTGGGCCTATCCCTGAGAGCTTTGCAGCGTTGAAGAATCTCAAGCTGCTAAGCCTTATGTACAATGAGATGAATGGCACTGTTCCACCAGGTATTGGTCGGCTTCCTTCGCTGGAAACTCTCCTTATATGGAATAATTTCTTCTCTGGGTCACTTCCACAGGACCTGGGCAGGAACTTAAAGCTAAAATGGGTGGATGTTTCCACCAACAATTTCATCGGCAGCATTCCACCGGATATTTGTGCAGGTGGGCTAGCGAAACTGATCCTTTTCTCAAATAAATTTACGGGCAGTCTTTCACCATCTATCTCCAATTGTTCTTCACTTGTGCGTCTACGAATTGAAGACAATTCCTTCTCCGGTGAGATCCCTCTTAAATTCAGCCATCTTCCTGATATCGCATATGTGGACCTCTCCAGAAACAAGTTTACAGGTGGCATTCCCATAGATATCTCTCAAGCTTCCAACCTGCAGTACTTCAATATCTCTAATAATCCAGGGCTTGGAGGTACGATCCCAGCAAAAACATGGTCTTTGCCACTTCTCCAAAATTTCTCAGCGTCAGCATGTAATATCTCAGGCAATCTTCCTCCATTCCACTCCTGCAAATCTGTTTCTGTTATTGAGTTAGACATGAACAATCTAGCAGGAAGCGTCCCTGAAAGTGTTTCCGATTGCCAAGCTCTTGGGAAGATGGATTTGGCTGATAATAAGTTTACTGGTCATATACCTGAAGACCTTGCAAGCGTTCCAGCTTTAAGTGTCCTGGACTTGTCACGTAATAACTTCAGTGGTTCGATACCAGCAAAGTTTGGTGCTTCTTCAAGCTTAGTGCTTCTAAACGTGTCTTTTAATGATATCTCTGGTTCCATTCCATCCAACAACGTGTTTAGATTGATGGGTAGCAGTGCTTATGAGGGAAATCCAAAGCTATGCGGAGCACCCCTGAAACCATGTTCTGCTTCCATCGCAATATTCGGCAGCAAAGGCACAAGAAAGCTTACATGGGTTCTGCTACTCTGTGCAGTGCTGGTTGTACTTTGTGTGGCATCAGTCTTGGGGATATTCTATATCCGGAGAGGAAGCAAGGGTCAATGGAAAATGGTCTCCTTCAGTGGACTCCCCCGATTCACAGCAAATGATATTTTGAGAAGCTTCAGTTCCACAGAATCACTGGAAGCCGTACAACCAGAATCTAGTTCAGTTTGCAAAGTAGTGCTGCCCACAGGAATAACAGTTTCAGTGAAAAAGATTGAGCTGGAAGCAAAGAGAATGAAGAAAGCCACAGAATTTATGACACAATTGGGTGTTGCAAGACACAAGAACTTGATTAGATTGCTAGGATATTGCTACAACAAGCAACAAGCATATGTCATGTATGATTATCTGCCTAATGGTAACTTGGCTGAAAAAATCAGTTTGAAGAAAGATTGGGTGGCCAAGTACAAACTCGTCATTGGCATTGCTAGGGGACTGCGCTTCCTTCACCACGACTGTTATCCAGCAATTCCTCATGGAGATTTGAAGTTGAGTAACATATTGTTTGACGAAAATATGGAGCCTCATTTGGCTGAATTTGGGTTCAAGTACCTGATAGAAATGACTAAAGGCTCATCTCCTGCAACGATTTCCATGAGAGAAACAGGTAACTCGTCACTACAAATTTTCTGTAGCACATGTTGTTCATGTTATAAAATTTTCTATGGAACCTGTTTTCTAAATCACTTCCACACATCAAACGGACGAATAATACCTTTACTCAAAAAGTCTAAGATAGTCAAAAGTTGTAAGAGTGTCTGGAAATCTGTAGTATACTTTATATAAGTTATAGAAGAATCATAAAAGGTCCAAGTCCAACCAAGAAAGTTGTTGCCTGTCAAGTACACACAGAGCACTAGTCAATATTCCTTCAAGCAAGACTAAAAACAGAGTATTACAGTGAGTAATATTCCACATAAACTAACATTAGCAAACTAATGTTGCTGTCTTGAAATAGGGAAAAGAATATTTGTACAAATAGAAATCTGTTGACTCATGCTACCGTCTTCTTTGGAAGCATAAGTAGCGATTAATGTTTGTTCAACTTTTTTATAGGCAAACTCAACAGTGCCATAAAAGAGGAGCTCTACATGGACATATACAGATTTGGGGAGATCGTTCTGGAACTTCTGACCAATGGCAGATTGGCAAATGCAGGGGGAGCATACAGAGCACGCCTAAGGAGGTGCTTTTAAGAGAAATATGTAGCTCGAATCAAACTGGTTCTGCTGATGCAATGCAAGAGGAGATAAAACTGGTTCTTGAAGTTGCTTTGCTCTGCACAAGAAGCAGGCCATCTGATCGGCCATCCATGGAAGATTCACTGAAACTTTTATCAGGAGTAAATTCGCAAACAAAATAACAGAAATATTGAAACCAAAGGACTACGCTGTGTATTTCACAATGCCATATATTAGTGGGCATGATAGATATGACTTGTAGCGAATTCATATGTCTGTTTGTATTTGATTATCATACCTAGCTTGTTCTTGGAAATAATTTGCTGTAATATAGTAGCCTATAAGTTTGTGAGTTTGTGTATTCTTAAAGAATCTTGCGGATGTTAACTACATGGTTTTTTTTTTTTTTTCCCAAGTTTGAAGTAAGAATATTGGCATTATAAAGTTCAATTTTCTATTCTTACAGTCAATAATACCATACGATACATCAACCTGCATTTCTTATCTCTAATTTTTAAACAGCAAGGGAATGGTGCTCCTAAAAAAAGGTAAACTGCTGCTTTAGTGAAAATAAGAGGGAGTAAAGGAGCAGGCCAAGGGAAGTTTTCAACAAAAGTGAGCTAACAGTGCAAGATGAATTGAAACCTTTCTCAATGTGCAAGATTATGGTTACAGATGCATATGACTACATTGAAGGAGAATGACAGGCTTAACAAGGGGTCAACTGACCATTAAAGTTTGGCCTTTTACATGAATTGATAGATAGCTTTTTCTTTTTCGCTTGTCATAACTAAGAACAGTTTTCCCTTCTTGCTTAAGCAAGAAATAGGTAGAAAGGGACACCATTTTCTTGTAACTGAAGCCTTTTGATATGTTCACATATATAGAAACCAAAAGTTTAGCCCTACATTTATTCATTTCTTGCTATAATATGTAGTACAAATTTTCTTTGAAAAAATAATAAATAATGAAACAAAATCAGCGATACAAAGTTTCATTCAGACAAATTCACATACAGGTAGAACCCAAACCTCTCAACTTGGCATCAACAGCATCCACAACACCTTGAAAACTATCAAACCTTCCACTCACAACATCAACATTTACTCCCAACCTCTCAGCCCCTGCCGCTGTCACCGGCCCATGTGCTGCCACCACCAAATTAGGCCACCTCCTCCGCACCATCTCCCACTCCCACCCAAACTCTCTCAAACTCTTCAATAATCCCTCCACTTCTCCACTACTGGTAAACACCATAGCATCCAACAATCCCTCCTCACTCCTCTCCACAATTCCCTTCCCACAGATAGGCCCCAACCACCGTGTCTCATACGCATCAACTCTAATTGGGACCCATTCCGCAGCCTCCAGTTCCCGGAGAAAATCCGGAACAACTGGAGGCTCTTCTAGTCCCACAACTCGTGGGACTGGACACAACAACTTCCGGCCGCGTCCAGTTCCAAGCAACTGGACGAGCCAGCTAGGTGTTGCTATTGTAGGAGCTATAACTTTTACTCTACTAATATCACCACCACAAAAATTAAGCAAGAAAGTTGTGTCTATCAGTTCCACATCTTTGCCAAGTGCCGCTATGATAAATGTGTCTTCGTGAGGTGGTAAGAGAGGGGTTGGGAGCGAGAGAGAAGCGGTTGAGAATGCGGTGATGGCGGTGCGGGAAGGAAAAGCAATGGCGGAGAGGAGAGAGATGGAGTGAGGGGAGAGATGCAGGGCAAGAGAGGAGAGAGTTTGTGGGGTGGGTTCGGTGATTATGGTGGGGCACCATAAGGGAGTGAAGGATTTGAGAGTTAATAGGTGGGAAAGCCTGGTAGCGTAGTTTGGCGGAGTGGTGAAGGCTACGGTGGGTTTAGCGGCGGTGGTAGTGGTGGGGATCATGAGGTTGTGCATGGTGGTTGGCGTTAACGTGGTCATCATTACCGAATCATTGGCCGAAAGTGCTTGTTTTGGACTTGTGGGAAGGTGGTCATCTGCTCGAGTTATTATTTAGTACATCCGGAAATACATTTTTCTTGTTTTAGATCAAGATCAAATTTATAAATAATTTTCAAAATAAATTTTATATTTTTATAAAAGACAGAATACAATTAAAAAAAAAAAAACACTAAAACATGCAGGGTTTTCGTGTTTATAGACTGTTCAACTACACTGAATTTACTGGGGATGAAGCACTTCTCCATGCATTTCAACCGTTGTCTCTGATTTGTTTCATTTGCTTCTTTGGTTTTCCATTACTGTTACAAAAGCTCATTTTTCTTTTTCTTTTTCTCTTGCACCTGTTTTTTTTTTTTTTTTCATTATCAATTTAACACCCTTATATTGTTTGCTTAATTGTAATTGTGCCACTTAGTGGGGTGTCAAGTTACGTTTTTATCCCTTTTTTTTTCTTTTTCCTTCCCTTTTTTTATTCTTTTTTTGTAATTTGCTCCTTAGTGGGACAGAGTAAGTGATGCTCAACAATGATGCTTTTGCTGCACGCTTTTTTTCCTTGGAATACTAAGTTTAGTTATTTTTACTTTTTGTTTTGATCCTTACATTATAAGTATGTTATTATTTGGTTTCTTAAATTTCAAAATATTTAAAATGATCCTAAACTATATATTATTAATTCGAAATATATCCAACAAAAATTAAATATTTTTAATAGAGAGTGGATATTGTAATAATTAACATGATTTAAAGTTACGTTAATTAATGATATAACTTTATAGGGTCACCGGAAAGAGAATCTAATTTTTTTATTAATTCAAAATATTTAAAATGATCCAAAACTATATATGATTAATTTGAAATACAATTAACAAAAAATTAAATATTTTTAATAAAGAATGGATATTGTAATAGTTAACATGATTTAAAGTTCTGTTAATTAATGAGATAACTTTATATGGTTACCTAAAACAAAATCTAAAAAAAAAACAATTAATTAATTTTAAGACATATTTGAGGAGTATTCATTATTGTATTATAAAAATTTAGTTTAAAATATTCATGTTTCATGTTTTATATTTTTTAATTTATGTATTTTGTTTTGATTTATAATTTAATTTTGTTTATTGAATTATTTAAAATTATTTCATAAATTTTATTTTAATATTTTATCGGATTGAATATTTAAATAAAATTATTAAGGTATTGCAAAGAAACTATTAAAATTTTCAAATTGACAATAATGATATCTAGTAGTGTACGAGAAAAACCTTAATAAGTTTTGATATATATAAATATAAAAAAATTTAAAAGCAAAGGATCATTATTAAAAAAGAAAGAAAACTAAAAAATGTGAATTTATTACTGTTACTGATTAACTAAAACAATTAGAATGAAAACATAATCATTGTCCACACACTGTTTCCTGTTTCTTACTTCAGTGTTCATTTATTGTAGATTGTCTCCAAAATCATTGTTTATTCACTATGAACTTGTACTCCTTATTAAAAAATGTGCACTTTTATTTCTACATGACAAGAGGAGAGAGAGATGACAAAATCCATTTCGATCATCTCGACAATCAATTTTACTACACCTTTGTTCGCCTTAAATATATCATGTATTTTATATTATATTATTCTTATTAATTAAAATTTATTCTTTGATTTTTTTTTAGTGAAAATCTTCATTCAATTAATAATTTTTATATGTAAAATTTTATTTACTGATAAATATGATTAATTTTTCTCTAAATTTGAATTTTAAAATAAAATTTAAAACATGATTGTTTTTTATTTTTTTAAAAAATAAATTGATATAATACATGTTATGAATTCTTAGAATATTTAAATTAGAATTGCATTTATATAAATTGTATTTTAGATAATTTGTTTCAGTTCATCGAGTATTATCAAGACGTATAAAAAGTTTTTTTGAATCATCGGTTTTATTAAAAATTAATTATACATATTTACACATAACATCAATTATTTGCTATGAATATTTTTGTTAACATTATAGAACTAATTTCTTTGAACTAAAATAATTTTTTAAAACAGCCAACCAATTATTCAAATACAATATTTTATGCTAACATTATTGATTATTTTGTAAATAAATATACATAGATCAAGTGCATATACTTTCAAAAATAATATTTTCACCATCATTAAATAAGAATAATTTTTTATTAATTATGTTTAATCCTCTCATCAGTATTAAATAAGAAAAAAAATTATATTATTTGTTTTTACAAGTCTATACATCAATTGTAACTTTATTTTTTGGATATATTTTTAAACTATATTATTTTTTAATTCTTAACTGATATTTTAGTTTAAATTATTATAAATTTTTATTTAAAAACTAACGCATAAAGAATAATAAATATTTTTTTAAGTAGAAAAAATATGAAAAATATATTAAAAAACTAACTAAAAAAATTAATAAAAAAAATTATAAAATTTTGAAAAGATTCTATTGTACCTGACCCACGGCGTAACACAGGTAAACGACCAATTCTAACTGAATAAGCTCGTACATAATTCTAAAAGCCTAGTAATTTGGGCCTCACATTTCGCACCTGTCCATGTTTTCTTTTCTAATTATTGCATTCCAAAACTTGGTTTGATTGCGAAAGCAAGAAGAATTCGGATGAATTAGGATATTAGAGACAGAAAAGCTGAGAATAGAAAGAAAAAACGGAAACAATCCTAATAGAAAGAGATGGATAAACAAAAATGGACCGATATTTAACTAACTAACTGAAAAAAAAAAAATAATTAACATACTCGATTGAGAAAATATTTAAAATTAAAATATTTATTATGTAGTTTTATCATTTCGGAGGAGAAAAGAAAAGAAAAAAAATAATATGGTTACTTAGTCTTTTTTTTGTTACTATCACATCATTATTAAATAAAAAATTAGATAAAAAAACTTGATTAATATTTTTAAAAAAATTGATATACTAAAATTAAAAAATAAAAATTGATGTATCCGTAGTATTGAGAAAAGATTCAAAGTTGTAGTTATTATATAGTTTCGTTTGGAAACGGAAGAAACTAGCTAGAACCGAGACCCAAAAATAACAAATTGGACTTCTACAGTTGGGGCTGGTTGATATTGGGCTGTACCGCTGTCATGGATGACTCAACCATGGCTGGAGGGCTTCGAATGCAATACTGCAGACCAATGTGAATGTTTAGAGCTTTGGGCAACGACATTGGCTATCTCTTCTCTACACGGCAGCAAGAGAAGCAATCAGGCTGGCTTCAGTTAAGAGTTATTAAATCAGAATCCTAGCCACCGACTCTACCACCATTGCCAACAGTTTCAATATATCTTATAAATATGTTTGATTTTAAATCACATTTTTTTTCTTTTTACAGCAATTCTAACAAAAGTCTTTAATTAAAAAAATAAAAATAATTTGGTTTTAAAATTGATACAAAAAATATTTTTAGTATAAAATCGATAATATTCTAATAATTTGATGGTATATTTAATGTTTGCTAAAAAAATTTTTTTGAGATTCAAGTTTTCATAAAGTAATGTTTTTATTTTTCAAATTAAGATTCAAACTCAAATTCCAACCTTTTTTGTTTTCGAAATGGTACAAACGAGATAATGATATCCGTAATTTAAATCATGTTTTGAAGTTTTAAAACACTTGTAAACTTATGATTTAAGTGTAAATTACTATAATTAAAGAGTTTTGTAATCTAGTGATAGTAATTTTTTACGAGAGATCATATATTCAAATATTGTCTTGGATATGTTTGTAAAAAAAAAAAAAAAAAGTAAACTACCATAATTTCCAAGAATTCAATTACAACCATGCCCTCTGTCCCTTTTAGTTCGTTATATAATGGCTTATGTCACTTTGACAGGCAAGTTAGGAAATCACCTTTGCAATATGCAAAAATGGTACAAGGAATACCATTTTCTTGTGTCATTTTCTAACACATCAATCTCACAAGTTGTGATATAGTCAGAATATATGCTATATATATCCCACATCAATACGAACAAACATTTATTTATTTATTTTTGTGTGTAATTGGGATTTCTTTCAAACATATGTAGGTGCCAAAAACACACACACACATATATAAATTGATTAGGTACTTCATTATGCTTTAAGCTTAACAATTAGAAACCTTAAAATGATTGTTGTACTAATCATACTCCGGTTTTTCAATACTTCTTGCAAATATATTCGAAATTCTACAAAGTAGACACACATTTTTTTTAATAAGGAAAATCCACCTCCTATCTTTCGGTCCTTACCAATTTCCTACCATATCCTACCTTATTTTCAGATTTCATACAATTTCTCCTCCATTTCTGTCCATTTTCTCCCTGATTTGCCATAAAGCCATTAAACAAATACTGGCCGAATGGCTAAAAATTTCTCTCTTCAATGTTAATTCATTTAAAATATTAGTCCCTAAACTTTTAATTTCAAGTTTGATATTTTTTGGGTTTTTTTAGATTTATTTTACTTTATGATTTTTAGCTATCACTTCCTCCTTTAATTTTTTTTTTAATTCTTGATATTTTGAACTGAAATTTTCCACACATGTTAGAAAAAATTTATTGAAAAAAATTCTTTTTTCAAGGTCAGAAAATAAATTTTTTAATTTATGAACATTAAAAAATGTAGAAAATAACTCGAAATAATTTAATTTTTTTTTTGAAAGTTTTAAATAAATTTTATTCATAAAAATGTTTAGTGACAATTATTTTTGATATAAAATGATGAACTTAATCTTTAGAAATATAAAGTTTAAAAGAGATCAAATTTAAAATTATAAGTTTAGGGATTGATTTTTAAATTGACTAAAGTTGGAAGATGGTTTTACTCGTTTAACCAAAAGTCTTGACCTTTGGCTCATGACTTCATTCCGTCAACCCAGCAATTACATAGATTCTTTCCTTCGTCTCAAATACGCCCTCTCAAAAGCCGAGAATCTATCCCCTCTCTCTCCTTTTTATTTCTTTCTTTGTCTGCGGGGAAAGAAAGCTGACACAGATACATTAGTCTGGTCATAAAAAATAAAAGAGAGAAAAAAAAGGAGACAAACTCAGAATTCACACAGTGCCACCTAGCACACTCATCCAGCCATGCCTGACGATGAAGCTACTTGTGAAGATGATTCTCCCTCCGTTGGTGGTACGAATACTTATGTTGGGTCGTCATCGATTGTTGGGGAGGCAGAGGGTTCCGGTTCTGGAGTTCAGAAGACTGAGAAAGACCCAAGAAAAATGGCTAGAAAGTAATGTCATTTATTTTTGTTGTTCTTTTTGTTGTTGGTTTCTTGGTGGGTTTAGGTCGTTCTGTTGTTTCTTTTCTTTCCTTATTTATTTTTGTTGGTTTCTTGGCGTTTCTTGTTGGTTTTTGTAAGTTTTTGCGGTTGAAATGATCAAAGTTGGTTTTTTACTTGTTTGGTTGTTGAGAAAATGGGGGACAACGAAAGATGGCTTATCTTTCTTGTTTCAAAGAGAACTGGTTCTTTGTTGCAATTGCATTGGATTATTTGGGTCATTGATTTTTGGTTAAATTTTTGTGCTTGAAGTGATCGAAGTTGGTTACTTTCTGTTTCTGTTTGCTGGTGAGAAAATGGAGGGAAAAAAAATATGGTTTTTTTTTTTTAACATATTTGGTTTCTGCTGGATACTAAATGGTTACATTGTATTAATTTACAATTTTGTCAAGTGTGTGCGTGAGTGAAGTTATGACTGATAGAGTTCTCGTTCCTTCCCTTTTTCCTTTTTCCTTTTTTTTTCTTTTTTTCTTTCTGTTACTAGAGAGAAGAAACTGAGTAGTCAATTGAAAGAATCCCATTCCGTGATTTGATTATCTGTTTATTAATCTTTTTGAGCCTCTATACAAGGAGGGTTTTGCATTTTCAGCTGCAAACGCGGCTAATTTCTTTTTGTTCTTGTATTTTGGTTTTTGGAACTTTTAGGTATCAGTTGGAATTATGCAAGAAAGCTCTGGAGGAGAATATCATTGTGTATTTGGGGACAGGTTTTGGCAAGACTCACATTGCTGTTCTGCTTATATACGAAATGGGTCACTTGATAAGGCAACCTCAGAAGAGCGTGTGTGTCTTTCTTGCACCCACTGTCGCCCTCGTTCATCAGGTGAGGTTGAAGATTTTTTTTTCTTTGATCTTCTCTTTAATTTTTGGTGATGTTTACTTTCAAGATAAATATTGAAGCTTATATGTTACTGAGTGGTGTGCTATACAGTATTCATGGCCAATGTGCCTTGGAACTTGGCTTCAGTGGTAAAGAGGGCAGGGTTGGGTGGCTCTGTGGTTTGAAATCTGGTTTAACGAGAGTAATAAATGAAAAATGAAAGTGAAGAAATGCAGGTTTAGTGCTTGAGTCTCATGGTCTTTTATTTCTATCACTGCCGTAGTCTTTCGTCCTGTTAGTCCAGTTCTTCAATGGATCTAGCTCTTGTTCAAGTGGGCTTACAAGTAGATGAATTGAATCCAAACTAGGCAGTCACTATATTGTATTGTACTGAACCAATACTAGACTAACTCAAGAGTTAATACCTTTATAAGCTACATAACTTTTAAGTGGCAGGGGTGAAAAAAGAGGGTTTTTCATAAATGGAAAAGACATCGTGGGGTGTTCGTTATCACTTACAACGAAGCATAAAGCCATGTTTATGGATTTTACCTTTTCAGAAACAGCTCTGTGTCAGGTTCATCAAGAACATCAGTGAAACAAAAAGACTGCTATCACTGCCTCATTGGTGTTCTGAAGCTGTATAGAGCCATGGAATGAATTAGCAAGATGATTCTTGATATCCAGAAGATCTATACTGTTGGCCTGTTTTTTTTTTTTTACCTTTCATCCTTATGACCCTAAAAAATGCATTTTTCAACTGTGCTTCATTCAATTTGGTTCTGATGCCATCCAAATCAGTTCCATTTCGCAGAATTTGTAGAGACTTTATATAGTAATATGTAAATCATCTTTTTTCTTATGAATCTACACGGCCCTAGTTTTTCAGTTCTCAGGTACAAAATTTCTTAATGCTGAGAGTCCACTTCTGTAGATATAATTCAGTTGATGTACAATGAATAGCTATGTGAGCATATTCATGCAACGTTTTTGTTTTCTTTTTTGATGCTAAATTTTGCAACTCGTTTGAAATATCAACGCCAAGGCTTAGCAATTTCAGCCTACTGACTATGTGGTTTTAAATTGAATGGATATTGGCTGTGCAGCAAGCCAACGTCATAGAGGACTCTACTGATTTCAAGGTTGGGATCTACTGTGGAAACTCCAACCGATTGAAGAGCCACTCTAGTTGGGAAAAAGAGATTGAACAAAACGAGGTAGTTTTGCTAGTTAATGAATTTCATTACTAAGTTTATTCATTTTTTGCTGACCCAAAATTCCTTCCTTATATGTGATCTTATCTTTCATGCATCTGGTAATCTACAATTTATCTTCGAGTATCATGCTGCTTTCTGTGAGATCAGATTTTGATACACAACAAGAGTAATCTGAAGGAGACAACTCTAATTTGTCCTAAAGAAATTTAATGCACTTCATTGGCATTTGTTAAATTTTGATTTCTCTTATCTTGAGTAAGAAAAGATGCCAACCTTTTATATCTGTTACTTTACCTTTTCAGCCTCTTTGAAAAGATTTTATTTATTTCTTCAAAATGAAGTAGCAGTTTCTCATAGTGCAGTATCATCCTGGGATAATAGTTTTGTTTTGTTTTTATTTATTTATTTTTTTTTTCTGACTGATCTATGCAGGTTCTTGTCATGACACCTCAGATACTACTGCATAACTTAAGTCACAGCTTCATCAAGATGGACTTAATTGCTCTTTTGATATTTGATGAGTGTCATCATGCTCAAGTCAAAAGCAGTCATCCTTATGCAGAAATCATGAAAGTAAAAGGCTGCATGAATTTTGTTTATTCTTGTGAACACACACACACCCAAAGGCATGTGCACACAAATATGTCCTTTTGTTATTAGTTTGTTTAACTTGGTAACTTAATGATTGCATAGGTTTTCTACAAAAATAATGATGGAAAACTTCCCCGTATATTTGGCATGACTGCATCTCCAGTTGTGGGGAAAGGTACTGGATTCCTGGATTTTGTATCAAGATGTCTGGTTTCTTTTTCACATCAAAGTGTTGAGAATATTTAAGTACTTATGTTGTGGGGATGTGAACCTTACCCTGTACTGTATCACTGATTTAATTTTCGGCACAGAAAACTGAAACCGCAGAAGCATGTCTAGATGCTGATTTTACATGACAACCGTGTTTTGTCGCAGCATTTTATTTTTTTCATTGAATATAGGGAGTCTTCGTGTAGGCCTCCCTTGTCAAAAAGATTGGGTGACATACAACTATTTTTTTCCTTCTATTTCAATTTGATACTAAAGTAAAAAAGACAATTTTTTTTGCATTTTTATTTGTTGGACAGTTTAAAATACAAAGATATAAAGATAAAAGGTAAAACATAAAGTACTAAACTCCTTGGCAATTGAGAAGTGCACAACAGACAAAGAGCTTGTAGCCCAGTGGTAGTGGTCTCTTGCAATAAGACTAATTATTGCAGACTACTTGTAGCCCAGTGGTAGTGGTCACGAGTTAAAATCCTAGCAGACTACTTCAGCTAGGAGGCATGGGTGTGTGAGTTATGAAAAAAAAAAAAAAAAAAATTAGGGTAAATTTTTCTGAGAAATATGAGACAAGCATGGGTTATGGATGCAACCACATTCAAATGGTAGCTTCCACATCCTTTTGCAGACCTTGATCACTGATACGATTCGTTAAATATATTCTTCTCAAATAGCCTAGATACAGGGAATGAGTAGCTTCCCTTGAAATCTTGTCTGTCAAATCCTGCGGTCCTCTAGACCTCACTCTGTCACCTCATAGTCTTATTAAGATTTTGCAGAAGATGAAAAGGAAAATGATTGGACATACAGAAGGTCCATGCATTTGAATTACCACTCCTAATGTGCACACCATGGATCATCTAGCGTTTATCTCATCCATATTTGCATATTTATCTTATAAATTTTTTCTAGCACAGGATTTGTCCTGATACTGCGTTTGCATCTATTGTGTTCGCTTTTGTCTTGACCATTTGTGTGATAGCCATGCATTGGAGTTAATGCCTTCGGTAGCTTGGAATGAATTTTTTCAGTTTCTATCTTTTCTTTCTCTGATAGCTGCTGTTCAGTCCAATAAATGTAATTTGCCAAATCAAGTCTAAATATGATGGGCATTAATTATATATGCGACAGATCAATTATATCAGAATGCGTAATACTAATCTTACTGAAAGATTTTTACTGAAATCATTTCTGGAAAAATTTCAACAGTTGGGTTTATGAGATCAGCTAATTCAATGTACGAGATAATTCGGATGTGATATAAGGGAGAATATTTGGCAAAATTAGCTCTATTCTATCATCATAGTCACTAAAGCAAGAGTTATATCCATTTTAAAGAAAACTTAATTACATCTTCATGTAAATGGAAATGCATATGTATAAATTTCAGTTGCGTTAATTTATTACCTTTTTTCTTTATTGAGTTAGAATTTTCTTAGTTGGAGTGCATCTTTAGTTTATCTTGTGGGAAATATATTCACGAAGTGGGATGTTATCTGTGCAACAGTTTCAAATGCTAGTTCTAAAATTTCCAGCGTCTCATCCTGAGAATTGGGATCAGTGGTAGTCTTCATTAGAAATTGAGTTTTACAGGAGGGGGCCTATACGCCTCATTGTGTGGCTTGATGTCACTTAAGGATGGAAGAAAAAAACGCAGCTGAACAAGATTTGTCAGGACTTCCTGAGATTCTACTGCGAAATGTTGAACTAGCAAACTACTTCACAATCTCCAATTTTCTCCCTAATTTTCGTCCAATTTTCTTTGCAAACAATACTCATCTTCTATTGTTTAACAATTTGCTTTTTGCTGTGTGGTTCAGGTATTCGATGTTAGCCACCTTCAAGTTATTGGTTTCTAAAATTCTTGTGTATGTGCTATCTTTCAGGTGCTTCTAGTCAAGAAAATTTATCAAAAAGCATCAATAGTCTTGAAAATTTACTTGATGCTAAGGTAGGCAATGAAAACTGCCTACTTTAAAATTATTTGGATAAGATATGCGCAATGCTTGTATTTCCTTTTCTTCAAAATAGCCATTTTCAAGGGCCTATTTACTATGTTTACTCTTTTTAAAGATGAACTCTGGCCTCATGAGAAATATTCATGCCTTGTATGTGGTAGATGTGTTCTTTAAACGACATGCTAGTTTTTTCTCTGGGCTTCTTCCTGGAGAAATGTTAGCAAGGTTCGCATATAATCATAAAATATCTGCAAGATATTCTGTTATTTTATGAGAGTTTTGCCACTGTATTGAGTGCATGTGCAGTTCTGTTTTTAGTCATATTCAGTTGTTTTTAAAGAAAATTTTATCCTGCTTCGGATGCTTTCCTACTGTAACATTACAATGTAAATCAGAAAATGAAAGATGGAAAGCATTTATAGCTCATCTATCTGTCATAAATTTTGTGGGTTTCTGTTGGAAGTTGCAGTCTCCTCATTAAAAGGGGGAAAAAAAACATGCATCTTTAAACCTTTTTCTACCACTCCTTTTGATCTTGTGCTGCTTAGAGAGTGATTCAGGGAGTGTATACATATAGACACTTCCCTAGTTAAGCTTGCATGGGTCACAACTTTTTTCTGATATCTGAGCTTCAAATAGATTGATTTGCAACTTTCAAAGGCACATTTTGAATTTGTTGAAGCATGGTGACTTCATTGAGAGTTCTTCAAAGTTGCAGAGCATATGGGTTGTTAACCTTTGAACTATTAATAAAAGAAAAGACTCTTTGAAGATAAAGCTTGGCCCTAATTCATAAAGCTCATTGGATGACATCCTGGGTTATCAGACACGTTGAGTCCAAAAATCTGTATAAAATGCAGAGGATTGAGCTAGAAATAGTTGATTCAAATTTTATGTGTGCAAGACTGCAAGTCTGTGCTGAAGTTTGTTTCAATGGTGTCTGACCATTTTATGGCACTGACCTTGGCATTCCATGTAGATATCTACAGTTGATCTCACTGTGCTTTGCTTCAATTTTGTAGGTGTATTCAGTTGAAGACAAGGAAGAGTTGGAGCGCTTTGTAGCATCTCCTGTAATTAGAGTATATCTGTATGGTCCTGTTGCAAATGGCACTTCTAGCTCCTATGAGGCTTACTATAATACACTTGACGAGGTCAAGCGCCAGGTATGTTATAGGTAATTGTGTTTTTGCTAATGATAAATTTGTCTGACCCTGAAGCAAATTGCTTGCTATTTCTTTGCAATAAGAATAGTGCATAGTGGAAATTGGCAAGAAGACAGTTGGAAACCTTAGTCTTCAAAGTCTTCGAAGCACTAAAAAAGTGCTCATTAGGATGCATGAAAATATCATATTTTGTTTGGAGCATCTTGGCCTCTGGGGAGCATTTCAGGTAAGTTCTTGTAACATTCAACCAGTCAGTTTCCTTCCAAAGTTTAGCTAGCTCTATTCCTTTACTTCTTTTCCCTGCATGCTAATCTATACTTGTTCTATCTGAGATGTGCTGTAGTTGTGGTTTCTGTATGGTTTTTTTTTCCCATTTCTATAATATCAAAGTTCAACATAGTTATACGGCCACGATCTTTTGCATATTTGATATGGAATTTCCTATTCGAAATAGTTGTTTACATATAGTAATGCAAAATTTTCAAAATACAGCTAATAGCAACAAATTGCAATGAATCATAATCCATATACAGCTATATATTTGTTCTATCTGAGATGTGCTGTAGTCATAGTTTCTGTATGATTTTTTTTTTTTTTCATTTCTATAACATCAAAGTTCAACATAGTTATACGGCTATGATCTTTTGCATATTTGATGTGGAATTTCCCATTCAAAGTAGTTGCGTACATATATTAATGCAAAATTTTCAAAATACAGCTAATAGCAACAAATTGCAATGAAGCATAATCAAATTTTCATGTGCACACAGTGATTGCTCAGGTCATGAAAAAGGGGTGGATTTGGGGATAAGTTTTTTGAAGGGAGTTGGAGAATGTAATTTTTGGGAGATTATTACTGTTGGTATTGCAACTATTTGAGGGGGGACAAGAAAACACTATAGAAAAAAATCTCACTTATTGGGACATAGTTTTCAAATGAAACATTTATAATCCTTGAAAAGTGAGGTGCTTACATACTGAGACTCACCAACTGACTGATGATTTTGGGGCTTAGGAGAACTATGTTGGTTGTGATGCTTATTTCATCAATCTGATGTAACTTGTTTGTGTTAAGTAGATTTCAATATCTGCTGTTTGTCTGATCTTCAATGGGAAGTAATTGATAAGTTTTAATTTATCTCTTTTCTTTCTTCCCCTACAATTTTTCTGAAGGCTTGTCGTACTCTTTTGAGTGGTGATCACTCTGAGTGGAATGCATTGATAGAAGCAGAAGGGAATGTTGGTGACGACTCCGTGTGTGATAGATACCTAACTCAAGCTGCTAGCGTCTTTGCTGCTGATTGCACAAGAGGTATTTTAATGTTTGATTACTTTTTAACTGCTGCTGGTAATGTCTTCTACTCATCATGATCGTACATTGGAGTAACTGCTTGAAGTTGATGTCTTACTGACCTTCAATTGGCTTCTAGGTTACAGTGGATGGCCAATCATTAATGGTCCTAACATAGAATTGACAGTCGAGACTGTGAAGTGACATCATAAGTATTTCATATATTGTTTTTTTTTTTCCAGTTTTATCTATAACAGATTTATAGATAATAAGAGTCAAATTGAGATTTTGCTCAAATAAAATAAAAAAAAAATGAAAATGAGAGTACGGGCCATCATTTTATTGTAGGAGTATTATGAGCAGGAAAACTCATGACCGAATCAACTTGGACCAATCAAGTGAACAATTGAATAGTTTGATTCTATTGGGTTTTGACCATAATAAAAATCAAAAACTCATCTAGACTCCTTTATCCTAATGCTAATCTTCCTTTCTGTTTTCACATGTCATATAATAATTGTTTATTTGAAAAATCAATGTTCTGTTGCATTTGTTGCTTTCTTATCAAAAGTTAAGCATAGGAGGTTAAAAAGCACAATCAAAGTAGAAATCTGGTCGTAATTATTGTCCAGTTAAAGAGCTGATTTCTTCAAAGGTTGAACACATTGGCGCTGATATTGTTTATGGAAACACATAAAATAGCCAGAAATACAACAATTTGTAAACTAGGTACATGTTGGGAAGTTTCATGTTTACAAATTTGATTTTTTCAATTGATGAATTGTCGATCGATTACTTTTTTCATAAAGATGTGCTTTAATTTAATATAGTTGTTAATATGTGGAAATTCACTTTCTTTCATATATTCTAATGATATATATACAAGATACATGGACCTATATATGGTAAATAGATCACACACACAGCTGTGTGTATATTCCTAATTTAAGAGGAAACTATGTAGGAAATATACAAATAGGAAGTAAGAAAGAATACAGCTCATTCCCGCTAACTAATATGGTCCTGGTTTGGAGGTTCAACACCTTAAGAAATGATGAATTTCTTACCATATATTAGTCTTAAATGCATATAGTTAGCACCTCTCTGATTTGTTGATTTGTCCAAGGCGGTATGAGCAGCCGTTCTAGTTGGAACCTGGGATCAGGCAGTTCAAAATGGCATTGTAAGTAAACGAGAACAGTGGTAATTGAATTGATATTGGTAAAGCTAGAAGGCCCAAAACATAAAGGAGCTAAATTATGGTGAAGTGGAGAGCTATTAAAGTTATCTTCCTCCTGCATTGTATTTCTTTTTCATGCTCTTCTAATAAGTTTTGTTTTCTATCTAAAAGGAAAAAAGGAACAATATGTGTAAAAACAGAGCAGAACTAGAACCACTTTGTGGTCCAAGCTTTCAAACTTGCCTATGTGATCCATCCTAATTTTATAGCAGTGGGAATATATAACCCTATTTTGTGCTTCTAATCATGCATAGTTATTTCCACTTGTTATTCAAAATTTTTAATTGGAAAATCTTTTATGCTTGGTGATCAAAGGAATTCATTATGAAACTCAAGCTCTACTTTTTCTGTCTTTATCATCATGTTGTTTCTTCTGTTCATGCAGATGGCATTGCATCCGATGTATCACAAGTGGAGGTTTTAAAGGAGCCCTTTTTTTCAAGAAAGCTTTTATGCCTAATTGGTATTCTTTCCAACTTCAGGTTTGTGATTATGTGTCTGTCTTTTTCAGAATTATGTGAAATATTGTACCAAGTGACATGTGTGCGTTATACTTGAATAATATGTGGATAATAGCTTTTGGCCTACGTATATCCTTCGATTAATTTGAGGGATAATTTGCAACCACAATTTCCTCAGCTGATCTCTCTCGTTTTTTTTTTTTTTTGTTAAAACAATTCCAGCAGCAGTAACTAAAAAGATTATGGACAATAATCAAACCAAAAAGGTCTTGGTGATGGCAAGACACTTATCTGATTCTGTTTCGTTTGTATTTGTTTTCTGTGTTTGAATGGAACTCAACTAAGCTTTACTCTTGGTGTTTCATGTTCAGAAATTGTTGACCTTTTATAAAATAAGTCGATCAACAATCAATACAAATGACCAGTTTTTTGAAAAAAAAATCATTTTCTTTTTCAGGTTACAACCAGATATGAAATGTATAGTTTTTGTCAATAGGATTGTTACTGCACGATCGCTATCACACATCCTACAAAATCTGAAGTTTTTAACATCTTGGAAGTGTGATTTTCTTGTTGGGGTTCACTCCGGACTGAAGAGTATGTCACGAAAGACTATGAATGTCATTCTTGAGAAGTTCCGGACTGGAAAGGTACGGCTTTATTACCTGTAATGTTTCAGCACGGGTCATTTCTGTGGTCATCTTACATGTTAGTTATGGGGTTGACTAGGAACATAAGAAGAAAATTAGTTCTAATTTGGGGGAAACCATATGATATGCTATACAAGTCTTTGGTTGCACATCTTACACGGTTATCTCATGATGGGTGAAGAAGTTTTTTTGTAAACTTATTCAAGGAGTGTCAGTAGTTGAACCGTGTGTGAAATTTAGGGTCTACTGCAATGGTTTGACCATGTCTTGTGCAGAATTTTATGGATGCATCAGTAAGGAAGAGTGGCTGGTTGTAAATGTGGGATTTAGGAAGGGGATTGTCTTGGAGTAAAAGTAATGTGAACTGAACTGGTAGAAATAAAGTTAGCATCACATGGCGAGAAAGTTTTGCTCCAAATAAAACTGACCTAAAGAAAAAGATCCATGTAAGCAATCTCTGGTAGTTTGGTATTGAGGCTCAGCTGAGTTGAGTCATATACATGTTTGTTATGAAAGGATTAGGACCCTTCTAGAAATACTATTTAACTCATTGGAATTGGGAAAAAAAAAATCTCCTGGTCACCTAAATATTTTGATTTAAGATTCTGTGGCATTGGAACTCCAAAATTATGGGTTTTTGATTGTTAGTAGGAAATAGGGTCACAATGAGGGTAGTAGAGCTATTGATCTCTTTAGTTGTGCAGTAAAGAAACAGGAATAAGAGGGAAACAGAGCAGAGTATGTTAACATATTGAGTAAAAGAACAAGAAATTGCAGTGTGTTGGATATGCTTTGGTCAGTTGAGTTTTACAGTCGTTCGCCTACTACTCAGATATGAATCTCCTCAGCATGTGCTTTGTCATTATGGCATTTTGGTACTAACGTCTCCACAAAAAGCTGATTGGAGAAATTATTAAAGAAAAAAAGGAAAAAAAATCTAGGAAGCCTTTTATGACACACTCTGGGGTCCAATTGATTAAAGGTACCTGCTAGGAATAGTAGACTGGATGGACATCTAGCATAACTGTTCACATATTGAGTAGCCTTGGAGTGCCTTATCTATGTGATTAGAATTTGCGGTATGCCTTAACACTGACCCCCAATAGTTTTACACTGATTATTAATTCTCATGGATTTGTTGGTTTGGCAGTTGAACTTACTGCTTGCAACTAAAGTTGGTGAAGAAGGACTTGATATTCAGACGTGCTGTCTTGTGATACGATTTGATCTTCCAGAAACTGTTGCAAGCTTTATACAATCAAGGGGTCGTGCGCGAATGCCTCAATCTGAATATGCATTTTTGGTGGACAGGTGCTCTTCTAAAGCATATCTAGTATATTATAAGTCTTTCCATGTGCTTTTTTAGTTTTATTTTACTTCTATGTTGAATAATTGTCTTAATAATGCAGGAGAAACCAGAGGGAGCAAGATTTGATAGAGAAATTTAAAATAGATGAAGATCGGATGAACATTGAAATTCGTGTCCGAACATCAAGTGAGGCATTTGTTTGTGATGAGGAAAAGATATATAAAGTTGATGCAACTGGTGCTTCCATAGCTTCTGGATCAAGCATCTCATTACTGCATCAGTATTGTTCAAAACTCCCTCATGATGAGTATGCTCTTGTTCAAACTTTTGATTTGATAATATTCTATTGAAATATTTCCATTTGTTCTAACAGATATTATTTGGTATCATTGATACTTTTTTGCAGGTATTTCGAACCCAAACCAAATTTCTTTTATTTTGATGATTGTGAAGGAACTGTTTGCCACATAATCTTACCCTCTAATGCTCCCATACACCAAATAACCAGTACACCTCAATCATCAATGGAAGTTGCTAAAAAAGACGCTTGTCTGAAAGCCATTGAACAGTTGCATAAACTGGGTGCTTTGAGTGATTTTCTTTTGCCACAACAAGAAGACACTGATGAGATGGAGTTGGCGTCTTCTGATTCAGATAACAGTGAAGGTTGAATCTAACAACTCATTTTAAAAGCTTTTTTCTTCTTTTGCAATTTATTTTCAGTTTGTTGGATCAATAGTGTTTTTGTTTGTTGGCAGATAAGGGTTCACGAGGAGAACTACATGAGATGCTAGTTCCTGCTGTTCTGAAGGAATCATGGACTGAAATGGAAAGGCCTATCTACCTTAACTCTTACTATATTGAATTTTGTCCTGTTCCTGAAGACAGGATCTATAAGAAGTTTGGCCTTTTTCTGAAGGAACCACTCCCACTAGAAGCTGAGAGAATGAATCTTGATCTCCACCTGGCACGTGGTAGATCTGTAAAGACAAAGCTTGTACCATCCGGACTTTCAGAATTTAGTACAGATGAGGTAAACCACAATTTTGCTACTGAACATAATGCTTAACATAGTTCCAACTATTTGCTGGCTATTTACTGGTTTTATATGCACAGATCACATATGCAACAAACTTTCAAGAGATGTTCCTCAAGGCCATTCTTGATCGATCAGAATTTATTCATGAATTTGTTCCCTTGGGAGAGGATCCATTTTCTAAAATTTGCCAAACCTTCTACCTATTGCTTCCTGTAATTTTTAATGGCTCTGAAAGGAGAGTGACTGTAGACTGGAAGATTATCAGACGATGTTTATCATCTCCTGTTTTCAAGAATCCAGCTGATGTTGTGGACATGGGAACCCTTCCTTCAGGTGCTTGCTTGCAACTTGCTAATGGCTGGAGAAGTATCCGTGATGTTGAGAATAGTTTAGTGTACACTCCATACCAGCAAAGGTTTTACTTCATTACAAACATTGTTCCTGAAAAGAATGGTTACAGTCCATGCAAAGGTTCAACCACTCCGAGTCATGTGGATCACTTGACAACAACGTAGGTGGCTTGGTTTCTTGAAACTTTAATATCACCTCAGATGTTCAAACCATGATAGTTCCTCTTGAAATATTACCTGTTATATTGTCCTTACTACTTTCTTATGCTAAGGATAGTTTCTGTATCAATGTCAGGAAATTTGACGAATATTTTAAACTAAAAATTCCCTGGTATTAGGTTTGGCATTCATCTTAGATATCCAGAACAACCTCTTCTGCGTGCAAAGCAACTCTTTTGTTTGCGCAACTTGCTATGCAACCGAAAGAAAGAGGATTCAGGTAATTTTTTACTCATTTTTCTCCAGTTGTTTTTCGTTTTTGTTATGCATGTTGCCTGAAGCTGTATGGAATGCACAATTATCTATACACTTGGAGCTGTTATGCAAAGAATTTCTTCAAGAATTTTTTTTTTGTTTCCAACTTCTAATATAACTGCTTATCGAACCAATTAATAGAAAAGGAACAAAAACATATAGCTTTCATGAGAAAAATACAATAAGTTTGACAGTGCGCTAAACTTGTAGATGTAATATTGATCTCTTTCTTATACCCAGATTGAACATTATAGTTGAGTTAGGGGTTATCTACCTGTCCAGTGCAGTCTAAACGACAGGTGGCCAACTTACTGCATTGGTTAGGGCTCTGAAATTAGTGGAATGGAGAGGATTTAAAGGAAAGTAAGATGCTTCTAGAAGCATCTAGTATGCATCCACATTCAGAAGGAAACTGGCATAAACTAGTGATTTTAGTAACCAAATTCGGTCTACAAATGTGGCACACTTTGTCAGATTAAATTGAAGTATGATAAACAAAGAAAAGTTATGAAAGAAAATATGTTGTCATGCACAACATGAAGAACTCGGGCATTAACAAATACAGTTTCATTTTTTTTTTTTTTTTTTGGGGGGGGGGGGGGGGTCATTTACTTATTCATCATAGAAAAAATAAAAAATAATTTTAGTGTTCTTCAAAAGCATAGGTGGATAATGGACTGAAAGTGCTCAATATTGTTGGTCTAAGTAGTAGTTGCCATTTTGATGTGTCAGTGAATGAATCAATAACTGTCTTAATAATATGCCAAGGATCAAAATGGCAGGCTAATTCAACTGTGCTTGTCTAAAGAGAGACAAAGCTTCATGGTCAACTGGTATGGACAAGTTATAAACTTTTTCACAGTTGTTCCATTAAATTAAGAATGTAACTAAGACCATGCATGAGTTGAAGAATGATGTCTTATTAGTAGTTGGCTGAGGAACTATACTATGTCCAAGGAACTTTTCTTTGGTATAAGTTCTCGTAGTTCCCCTCTCACCTTTTCTTTTGGTAAGAAACGTGCATGGGATCTATCAAGCCAAGTCCACCTCTCTAATCATTTGAGCCAATGCCCATAGGCATCTGCCTTGCACTATTTTAGTTTCCTGTCTTTCATTGATCTCTCCTCCTCTGGATGCTCTTTACCATTTTTTTACTGATATTTTCTTGCTTCTCTCTCTTTGTTTGCTTTTTCTTATAAATTAGTTTGTGTCTAAAACAGAATTGCAAGAGCTGGATGAGCACTTTGTTGATTTGGCTCCTGAGCTTTGCGAGTTGAAGATAATAGGATTCTCTAAAGATTTTGGTAGTTCTATTTCTCTACTGCCATCAATTATGCATCGCTTGGAAAACTTGCTTGTAGCCATTGAATTGAAATGCATATTGTCTGCTTCATTCTCTGAAGGAGCTAAAGTTACTGCCGATAGAGTAAGCCCTCCTTCCATAAAATAATTGAAGTATTGGTTTTAATAAGCAGTTGCCTATCTTATCTGAAAAAAAAAAAAAAAAAAGATAAGCAATGCATTGCGCTAAGTTGGGTAATTGTGCTAGTAGAATTCTGCTGGCATTTTGCTAAGTTATCCAAATATGGGTTAACTGCCTTTCCCACTAACATCTGCTAATTGATTTATAGGTTTTAGAAGCTCTCACCACAGAGAAGTGTCAGGAGCGTCTTTCTCTTGAAAGATTCGAAACACTTGGTGATGCTTTCCTCAAATTTGTTGTCGGTCGCCATTATTTTCTTTTGCATGATACCCTTGATGAGGGGGGCTAACTAGGAAACGTTCAAATGCTGTAAACAATTCCAATTTGTTCAGGCTAGCAAGCAGGAACAATTTACAGGTATGATTATATTTTCAAAAATGATCTGGATGATTAGTCATCTATGATCTTTCATCTCTCAAATAGTTACCTTATTGTTTTTTTTTTTTTTTACTTGAGAGATTACCTGAAAAAAAAATGCAAAAGATTAGTTCTCATATCTACCATTTAGAAGTTGTTGGATTGCCCTCCAAAAAGGCTGAAAGGGTAAAATTTGATGTTAACTATTGAGAATTGCAGGCAAGTGACAATATCCTAGACAATTTACAGCATGGACGTGAAAAGTTGTCCGGAAAGGAGTCTTGTTTGCTTTTCTTCTACTCTCTTCAGTGTGTTTGATGCTCTGGCCAATTCTCTTGATATTGAAAAGTTAGGAAAATATGTTTCCATGGACCAACAGTTCATATTCAGTATTGCCACACAGAACCATTTCTGCAAAGGAAACTCATACTCTGATATTGAATCATTAATTTTTCTTTTGTTTCAACATCTAAGTGATATGTTTCACCCCTTTTTAGGTATATATACGTGATCAACCATTTGATCCCTGCCAATTTTTTGCTTTGGGTCGTCCTTGCCCTAGAATTTGCACCAAGGAATCAGAAAGAACCATTCATTCTCAATGTGAAAGCCATGTGACTGGTCAAGCAAAGGGTAGTGAAGTCAGATGCAGCAAAGGTCACCATTGGTTACATAAGAAAACAGTTTCTGATGTGGTTGAAGCTCTCATAGGAGCATTTCTAGTTGACAGTGGCTTCAAAGCTGCAATTGCATTTCTTAGATGGATAGGTATTGATGTGAAATTTGATGATTCACAAGTTATCAATGTTTGCCAAGCAAGCAGCTCCTATGAAACACTCGCTCCTTCCATGGACATTGCTGCCCTTGAAAATTTGTTGGGGCATCAGTTCCTATATAAAGGTCTGCTTCTACAGGCATTTGTGCATCCTTCTTCCCACAAGAATGGAGGAGGCTGTTATCAGGTACGCAGTCCTCTTATTTTCAATTGTGTAACTAGGTCTTATTTCGATTAACTGTCTAGAAATGGTCCTCTGTCCTTTGCAATTCTTTCCAAACTAACTAATTTGGAGAATTTGATTCTGATACTGCAATTTGCTATTACTTTGATGTTTCCACCAGAGATTGGAGTTTCTTGGAGATGCTGTCTTGGATTACTTGATCACATCATATCTATTTTCAGTTTATCCTAAAATGAAACCGGGTCACTTGACAGATCTGAGATCAGTGTTGGTGAACAACAGGGCCTTTGCCGGTGTTGCAGTTTATCGATCTTTCCACAATTATCTTATATGTGATTCTGATGCCCTTTCTGCTGCCATAAAAAAATTTGTGGACTTTGTTAGAACACCTGAATCAGAAAAGCGTCTGCTGGAAGGACCAAAATGCCCAAAGGTAAACATTATTTACTTTACTGGGCTAGTGCCCACTCTACTTTCTGGGGTTTCCAGTTTTCTCATTTTCTTTATTCAGTTAAGTCAAATTGGGACTTTTGTTGCAAAAAGCACGGTGTGGCTTTTAAATGCTTTGTGTCATGCATCATCAACAAGATAAGAGGCCTTAGTAACACATCAGATGCAAGCGACCACTGATGGAACTTCTTCCCTTCAAATTTTTTTCCCAGTCACCCAAGCAAAACAAATGCACCCCCCCACCCCACCCCCCCCAAAAAAAAAAAAAATCACTGCAGAAAACATTCAAATCTCCAAAAACTGATGAAAAAAAAAATATCATCATAAGAAGATAAAGGCACTGGTATTTTTTTTTTTTAACCTGAGTTCTGGTTAGATTGGATTCAAGAAAACCTTTGCTTGCTGTCTGGCTAGTTTTGCTGCTCTCTGGTTGGGCTAGGAAATCAACTCTTCTAAGAAAGTTGTTGAACACCATGGATTCAGGCTTCTAGATATGAGGGATTGAAGATTCTTAGAGAGATCAAAGTGGTAGTGGTCTCTTGCAACAAGGGGTCGCGGATTCAAATCCGAGTAGAGTAGAGCCTTGGGTGTGTGAGTAAAAAATAATTAAAAAAAAAAAGATTCTTAGAGAGAGGTCCTGGTGATGGAAAACGAGTTTTTTTCTCTTGTACTGCTGTGCTTTTGGTTCTTTGGCTTTGCAGCTTTCAAATGGCTTTTGTGGTGGTTGTATAATTGGAATAGGTTTCATGTTTTCTAGCAGCCTGCAAGGTAGTGCTTTGCCCTTGCATGCTTACCCTACTCTGCTCCACATTGAGCTACTGGGATCCAATGACAAGATTTTGGTTGTTATTTTAGTCATCATGTTACGATTATTATGTAATGGTAATCTTGGCAAAAACATTTGAATATTGAGGTTTGGTATAATTTGATGGAAGATTCCTGAAGTTAGGTATATTAGTGGTGAGTAGTAAGAGCAGCTAGAGTTTTGTTAATACTGCATGTTCAATAAATGTGAAATGGATTTCATTTTACAATTCAAATGGAATTTTGAAATTTGTATAATCTTGTTATCAATACAGGTTCTTGGTGATTTGATAGAGTCTTCTGTGGGTGCCATTCTTCTTGACACGGGATTTGATTTGAACTATATCTGGAAGATAATGCTATCTTTCTTGGATCCAATCACAAGCTTTTCCAATTTGCAGATAAATCCTGTGAGGGAATTAAAAGAACTTTGCCAGTCTCATAATTGGGATTTGGAGGTTCCTGCATCAAAGAAGGGCAGGACTTTTTCAGTTGATGTAAAACTGAGTGGTAAAGGCATGTACTTATCTGCTTCTGCAAGCAACTCAAATCAAAAAGAGGCTATTAGAATGGCTTCAGAACAAATATTTGAGAGACTGAAGGTAAAACCTGTATACTTGTGGATCTCTTTCACCTGCCATTGTCAACTTGTGAAACTAGCATTGTTTACTCTGAGATTATTAACTGAATTGGATACTCTTAGTTGTAATCTTTCTTGAAGAACAAGTTCCTAGCACTTGGAGTCCAACTCCCATAAAGTAAAATTATGTTTTTCCATTGCGTCAATTCTTTTTTTTTAAAAAAAAAAAAGCTGCCAAGAATATTTAAACTAAGGAATATTTGGAAAATGAGGTGTTGGGAGGCGGGAAGGGATACAATGGACAACGGAAGAACTCATTTTTAACTCATGTTTGCATTGAAATATGCATGTTTGCTGTATAAATGAGCCTTTTGTTTTGCATTTGTATTCTAACTTGGGGTTTTTCCCATAAATATTGCTTATGAGCATTTAGCTCAGTAGTACTTGCAATTATAACTCATGTAAAGATAAGAGGCTTCAAATTAATGAACTATGCACTAGACAAGCTATTAGAGAATAATATAAAACCAGATTCTGGGGCCTCACCTAACACCTTATGCTTTTGGGTTGATTTGGTTTTTTGACACATGCTCGCTTTGCTTTTGAAATCACCAGAGATCAAGGAATCGAGCCCTGTAATTGTAATACAATGGTATAGATAGAGCTAAGAAAATTTGATGTGTAATTTCTTAAACTAAGAAACAAGTTAGTGCTATTTACACAGACAGTGCACACATGATTTGATCACTGCTTTTAATTGAACCGTTACTATGCTTCACCTGCTACCTATGCCACTATGCACAAAGGGGTTATTTGACCTTTTGACCTCCTTAATTTTTCCTATATCCAGCTTCATTTCCTGAAGGTGATTACCTCTGATATGCAGGATCAAGGTCTCATACCAAGGACTAACTCTTTGGAGGAGGTTTTAAGGAATAGTCAGAAGATGGAAGCCAAATTGATAGGATATGATGAGACCCCCATAGATCTTATTGCTACTAATTTCCCTGGAGTTGAAAGCTTGAAGATCCAGGAACCTTTGGACAGCAGCTGCGGCTCTGAAGTGAGAGATTCTTGTTCACCCTGTGTCAAAGCTGTTAATGCACGGTCTCCATCTCTGTTAGATTTCACTGGAAGGCAGCCCAGTGAGACTACTTCAGATCTTAGATGCGACAAAAATGTGCATATCACAGGTTTGTCATGCTTATCATGCTTGCAGGATGCCAAGAAGTAAAGAGATTCTGACATTTGCAATTGTTTTTCAGGTAAATTGGACAACGGAACAGCCAGATCTCGTTTGCACGAAATCTGCACAGATAATTGTTGGAAACCCCCTTTGTTTGAATGCTGCACTGAAGAAGGACCAAGTCACATAAAGTCGTAAGTCTCCGATCTTTCTTTTGGTGAATGTTGACCGATATGTATTGAAAAATGTTTGCACAGAGAACTTTAATGTCATTCAATAATTAGAGTTGTAGGTTTAAAGATTGAGTTTTTCTTCAACTTAGTACCTATTAGGCTACATACATTTCGTAAATGAAAATTCATTAGGGGATTTTTCCGCATTCAGTTGAATGAAACAGTTTGTGCATGACGTGAGATGATTGAGGTTTAGTTTGAATTGCCCTTCACGAACCAGTGGTACCCAGAATTGGGAAATTCTCATGGACTGTTTTTGAGTTACGAAGAGAATCTCATGAAATGCTCCTCCCCATGGAATCTCACAGTTATGTGACAAACTTCACCCCCACCGCACTCTCTTCTTCTCCCCCTTCTCCTGCTGTTTCACTGTTTGTTGGCAGCAAGATATCTATTATGGAAATTCATCAGTCCCGTATGGAGTAAATTATAAATTAGTCCCTCTAGTTTCAAGAAATGAATTAATTAGTCCCTTTGTTTCAAAAACTAATTATTTAGTTCCTATATTTTTAAAGTTTTTTGTAACTAAATCATTTTCATTCTTTTTTTTTTTTAAAGAAATAGAGAAAGTAAAAAATAAGTATTAATAATTAGTTTTTGAAACAAGGGGGGCTAATTAATTTGTTTCTCGAAAATAGAGGGTCTACTTTATTATTCAGTCATCCCGTAGGTCATGTCACGTAGGTTGCTGTTCATTTTTATAAGCAGTGCCTTCTTCTTCTTCTTCTTTTTTCCCTAAATTAATTGGTGTTCGTCTTACATGCTGAATTCATACATTTGCAGCTTCACTTACAAGGTTGTTGTGGAAATAGAAGAATCACCAGATATGAATTTTGAATGTGTCGGATCTCCCCAGATGAAAAAGAAAGCTGCAGCAGAGGATGCAGCAGCAGGGGCACTTTGGTACTTGAAACATAAAGGCTACTAGTTTTAAATTGAAATGACCTGAGGATTGAATTGCGTAACTTAAAGATTAGAATAATCTTTCCTTAGAGATCAATTTTGTCGTCGCCGATGAGATCATTGCAGGAAACTGACAGTCAAAAAGAACGGAGAGATGCAATACATGTACATAGAATCTGAATATTTCAAGTGTAGTATAGACTGATGCTGCAGCTTTGACTGATCCAGTGGAAGTTATTCTAAGAGTGTAAACTAATGCTGCAACTTTGGTGATCCAGTGGAAGTCATCAGTGATAATGTGAAACCAATAGGGTTTCTACTTGGCGCTGTGTTGTGTATACAGAAAGGGATATCCTCCCCCTCCCCCAAAAGACAAGTGATAAGGGATATCCTTCTTGTATCAGAAAACAAATAAAAATGATCTCTTGCTGAATCCTGTATGTGTATTGAAACCGAGAAGTAAAGTTCCATCTTGGAATGCCTAAATGAAAAGAGAGTGGGAAATCAAAGATGCTCTTTACATTCCCTTTTGTGTTTGGTTCTATGGTTTGATATTATTTTATGCATTGCTTATGAACTTTCTACCTAATTGCCAAGAATTATAACCAAATTGTTTTAGGTAACTAATAATGTCGGTGATTAAGGAGGAATTATACGATTCTAACAATTTTTATTTTTTCTCAATCTTTAATTAAGATGGGGGAAAATCGTTTGATTGAAAGTCATTTTCAATCACTAAACAAAGATTTAAAAGTTTTGATTTTTTTTTCTCATTTTGTTTGGTCAATAACTACAAGAGTAATGAATTCCAACTAATTATTGGATTTGATTCATTGAGAAGAATTGCATTACAATTTAATTTTTAATCGAAAATATAATATATATGAATAGTTTATCGTCAAGATATTTTAATAGTTAAATTTAAATAAAAAAGAGAATGTATTTGTTTTTGAAAATTGAAAAATAAAATTTTTCATCCATTTAATAATTGACTTAATAATTTTACTTTGAAAGATAGAAATAAAATCTTACGCTATTTTCTAGCCATGATAAAAATTAAACAAAATCAAACACTAACGAACGACATGTCATCTGAAGATTCAGAGCCCGTCCTAAGCACATCCACCCGCTACAAGTGCCCTTTTTGTACAGGCAACAAGTCGTCTAACAACAGAGCGACACGTCACCAAACCCCCATTAATCAGAGAACACACGTGCGAGAAGCACGTGTCACCCCAATTTCCCGCCAAATCTTCGCGCCAAAACATCCCCTAATAAGTTTCCACAAATTAACCTTTACCCTCCGCTTTCCCTTCTCACATGCACACAGAAAACAAAAGAGTTTTTCAGTTAGAGAGAAATCAAGAAGATGTCAGGGTGGGACGAAGGAGCGGTGTACTACAGTGACCAGGCCCAATTCCCAGAATCCGGATCCGATGCGGCGGCCGCAACTCCAAGTCGCTACACAATCCTCCGTAAATTCAAGGAATTCATTCGAAACTTCGAGACTGAGAAAAATGTTTTTCCCTACCGTGAAAGTCTGGTTAATAATCCCAAATCACTCCTTGTCCACCTGGAAGACCTCCTTGCTTTTGATGCCGAGCTTCCTTCCCTTCTCCGGTCCTCTCCCTCCGATCACTTGCCCTTGGTACGCGCATTTATGAATTAAATTTGTTGCAGCGTGGCTAACACGCGCTGTTGGTCTTTGCATACCTAAGTGAGATCTAAGTGAGTGTGAATTTGTGTGACTAATTTGATTTTGTGGATGTTTTGTTTGTTTGTGTGTAGTTTGAGACGGCGGCAGCGGAGGTGTTGCAGAGTCTGAGGTTGAAGGAGCAAGCAGAGAGTGGGGAAATGAAGGAGCCGGAGACGAGAGAAGTGCAGATTTTGTTGAGTTCTAAGGAGGATCCTGTTTCAATGCGAATGCTTGGGGTTAGTAGGTTTTAATTTTTATTTTATTTTAATTTTTGGGTTTTGGCGAGTGATTGTTTTGCCTGCAGTTAAAAATTTTTTGGATTTTTTTTATAATGAAAGATGAGGAAATTGTTTTGGGATCTGCTATGTCGTGTTTTTAATTCTCAAAATGTTAAACAGTTTAGCTCCTTTTTGGTTAATTTGTTGCGCTCTTGATTAAATCAGGGGCTTTTGTTTTCCTGGTCATTATGAGTTTGATATTAAAAACTTTGGATTTGGAAACTTATGTATGATTTACAAGCAGTTTAATTAAGGGTTTTTCATTTATTAGCTAACACTTGTGGAAGAACATTAGCTTGGAAAGTGTTTGTTTAGTTCTTGTTTTAATTCATTTTTTGTGTATAGGCTCAATATATATCAAAGCTGATTAAGATAGGTGGGATTACTATATCTGCTTCAAGGGTTAAGGCAAAGGCAACTTATGTCAGTCTAGTGTGTAAGAATTGTCAGAGCACAAAGGAAGTTCCATGTCGACCGGGCCTTGGTGGGGCAATTGTGCCTCGTTCATGTGACCATGTTCCTCAGGTTTATTTGAAATCCTTTGTTGTAAATCCCCGAGTTTGTTGGTTTGGGACTCTAAATTTCTTGATTTTTATGGGATTTTGTGCAGCCTGGAGAAGAACCATGCCCCATTGATCCTTGGATTGTGGTTCCTGATAAGAGCAAGTATGTTGATCAGCAAACCTTGAAATTGCAAGAGAATCCCGAGGTAACAATGTTGATTTGAATCAACTGAATGGTGGTGTTGAGTTGAGCAACTTTTTTTTATTAATTGTTTTTTGTTCATGTCATATTATAGGATGTCCCTACTGGAGAGCTTCCAAGAAACATGCTTCTCTCAGTGGATCGGCATCTTGTTCAAAGAATTGTACCTGGCACGCGATTGACCATCATAGGGATTTATAGTATTTTTCAAGCAGCCAATTCATCAACCTCGTAAGAATGTTATACTTCATATGAATGTTATGAATCTCGATGTTTGTGCATACTGTTTACTGGTAATTGATTTGTTGTTAATGGTTCAACAATGTGCAGCCATAGAGGAGCAGTTGCAATTAGACAACCTTATATAAGGGTAGTTGGAATAGAAGAAGTAAACGAGGCCAGTTCTCGAGGTCATGCAGCTTTCACCATAGAAGAGGTAGAATTAGAGATCACCAGTTAAAACTGTTTTAACAACTCTCTGCACCCACTTTTTTATATGTTCATGACAGATTACAGCAATACTTTTTTTCATGCATGACTGGTTTCTATAGACATGTTTTTTTTTAACTTGATTAGAGTCTCAATGCATGACGGCAGTTTTTATCTTCTGCTACTTATTTGTGAGAAGAGGTGGGAAGTTAAATTACGTAGAAAATTTTCTATTACTAGGGCATGCTCCTCTTTTTCTTTTTTCTGGCTTAAACTCTATGCTGCTGTGCTGCAACCAATTTCCTTGCCTCTTGCTTGTGTTTTGGGCACTGGTCATTGTCGGACAAGTGACTCCATGTTCCATGTGCAGGTAGAAGAATTCAAAAAATTTGCCTCGAGAACAGATACATATGAAGTCATATGCTCCAAGATTGCTCCCTCTATATTTGGAGAAGAGAACGTGAAGAAAGCTGTGGCTTGTCTTTTATTTGGAGGATCAAGGAAGGTACATAGTTTGAACCTCAATCATTTGATAGTATGTTGTTTGTTGATGTTTGAACAATTGCTTCATAAGTGCAGAATTTGCCAGATGGGGTGAAGTTGAGAGGTGATATCAATGTGTTGCTTTTAGGTGACCCATCTACTGCTAAATCACAGGTTAGTTCTTTATTTGGTTGTTAGTTTATGTGTTGAGAGCTGTTTAGAAGTTATAGGTGTGGTGTTGTGGTCTCTTTTATTCATCTTTCTGCTGAAAGATTTCTCCAGTCTCCACTTTTTTTTTTTTTTTTATTTGTCCATTCATGTTCTGTGTTTGTGAGCTTACATGCATGCATGTGTGTTTGTGTGTGTGAATTGAGGTTCTTATTTAGAATTTCCTTGCTTGTAAAGTTTCTCAAGTTTGTTGAGAAGACTGCTCCTGTAGCTGTATATACTTCCGGAAAAGGCTCATCAGCTGCTGGTCTTACAGCTTCCGTTGTACGAGATAACAGCACAGTAAGTTCTTCATCTTGTTTGGCATGTATAGACATGGCTTTTTTTCGTTCATTGCCTTAGAAGTAGTTTCTTTTTTAGTTGGTCAATATTCTTCTTTCTCATCACTATGAAATTCTTCTAACTAAGATGACAAATATGTGGATTTCAGCGTGAATTTTATCTAGAAGGAGGAGCCATGGTTTTAGCTGATGGAGGTGTTGTCTGTATAGATGAGTTTGACAAAATGAGGCCAGAGGATAGGTAATTGAACTCAAAGTAGATAATGCTGCACCTTTCCACTTGTGGTTCTTAGGGATTCTTAAGACTTTGTGTCTGTGTGGCTCAGGGTGGCTATTCATGAAGCCATGGAGCAGCAAACAATATCCATTGCAAAAGCAGGGATAACAACTGTTCTCAATTCTAGGACATCAGTGCTTGCTGCTGCCAACCCTCCCTCAGGTCGTTATGATGATCTCAAGGTGAGTAGCTATATTTTCTGGTTTGCCAATCTCTTACAGCAAAAATTTGATGTCATAAGCTAATAATACTATTGCTTTCCTTCCAGACTGCACAGGAGAATATCGATTTACAGACAACCATTCTTTCTAGATTTGATTTAATCTTCATCGTGAAGGATAAAAGAGACTATGGTCGAGATAAGGTAATTTGCATACTCATCTGAAGCGTTTTCACTTGAGTTGATATTTGGCCCTGCAAGGAAATTAAATGATTCCATTATGTTTCTTGATGGATTTGAAGGCACAAGACCATAAAATCATATAATTATATATGCGTTTGTTTATATTGAAAACTAAATATGATTGTTTCTCACCTTCTATCAAAAAGCTCATTTTGATGAATTAAAAACAGCTAATGTATTACATGCATTCTTGTTGATTCTAAATTCATCTGAGTTCATGTAGTTGTTGAACCAAAAATCTTCTGTTACAGATTATAGCTAGCCATATCATAAAGGTCCATGCATCTGCTGATAAAACCTCAGGTGATAGCAGAACTGCTAAAGAAGAGAATTGGCTGAAAAGGTATCTTTTGTCAAACTTAAGAATACTCTCTTCACAGTCCTTCGTTGGTTAGAAAACCATGAGAAGCTAAACAATGCACGTTATGGCTCTCACAGGTACTTACAATACTGTCGAACTGAATGCCATCCCCGGCTGTCAGAATCTGCATCCAGTAGACTGCAAAATGAGTATGTCAGATTCAGACAGGTATTTGTTGCCACTCACTTATTCTTTTCAGGATAGAGATGCCATTCGTTTGATTGCCTGAAGATTGGATTGGATGCATTTTCTGTGGAACTTGGTGTTTACTTTTGTTGTTCCAGTCCATGTACTCTTCCAAAATTTAGTTTTGATTGAGCATAACTAATTACACAAATTGACTATTCATTATTGGCTAGCCACTCAACAACACTGCAAGGGATTCTTTTGAAAATTGGTTTTAACTTATTTATGCACTACCACCATGGGTATTTGATAAGAAGGTTATAGGCTGCTAGTCTGACAGCTATCAATCTGGTGATTTGATTAGGATATGAGAAAGCAGGCAAATGAAACCGGGGAGGCTTCTGCCGTACCCATTACTGTAAGGCAGCTGGAAGCTATTATAAGATTGAGTGAGGCTCTTGCAAAAATGAAACTGTAAGTATAATTAATAAATTGACAAGTTTGAGAGCATGCACAATAGATTTGCGTGTTTGTTTTACCATTTTCCCTCTTAGTGGTGTATTGATTTGCCACTCATTCATTTACTTTTATTTAGGTCCCATGTTGCCACTGAGGCGGATGTGATTGAAGCAGTCAATCTTTTTAAGGTTTCTACTGTCGAAGCAGCACAGTCTGGAATAAATCAACAAGTGACTCTTACTCCTGAGATCAAGGTTTGTCAATGACATTGTTACCCTTTGTTTCTGTTTTCTGTCTGTCATGAGCTCAACAACCTGTTCTGATTTTCCTTGCCTTGTGATCTGTCAATCGCTGCTTAATGATTTTTTCTTGCCAACAAACAGCAAGCAGAAACTCAAATAAAGAGAAGACTAGGAATAGGTATGCGCATATCAGAAAGAAAGCTGATTGATGAACTTGCCAGAATGGGAATGAATGAATCAATTGTAAGCATTTAATATCAATGCCATTCATTTGCTTTTTTACTTAAGATATCTGATAATGTGACTTAATGAAACTTTTATTGTAACCTATTCAACTTATCAACGTTTGATGCCTGAAAAAGAGTGGCCGCCACAGAAAAGTCGTTAATAATAATGGAATAAAGCAACACATTGCTATGATCTCCATGGTTTAGGAGGACTGGTTACGCTAGCAAGTGTCTGCTCTCTCTCTCTCTCTCTTTGTGATATCTGAGATCATAGATGCTATACGTTTTGGTGTTTTTATTGATATTATGATTGCATTTGGCAGGTGAGACGAGCCCTTATAGTAATGCACCAAAGGGATGAAATTGAATATAAGCACGAAAGGCGTGTTATTGTTCGGAAAGTATAATCCACAAAATCTTTCATGATTGCAAGCAAATTATAAGCTGCAGTTCAGTGATGGGGAAGTTAATCGAAGCATGTCTCATCCATTTTGATGACAACGGTATGGTTCCCCTGTAATCCTGGAAATGGGGAAATCAAGATATGCATATGCAAATGTAGAATTGGCAGAAGCAATTGGAGGCAATCGTGTATTTCTGTAAATTAACTTCAGAAAGTAGCAGTTTAGAAGATCTGTTTTTCTGCGTTTAAGCTTCATTTTATTTTCTGGGATTTGCAAAACCCTGAAATGGTCTCCTCAACCTCCTGCAAAACTTGGAGGTTCTTTCTAACTAGTAATTGATTGTGCGTATTAATTTGAATTAGAAATAGCTGGTTTGCCAGCTCTTTCACATCTAATTTTTCTTCTGGTAAATTCTTTCCAGTGTTCCCGGTGGAAACCAATCAGAATGTAGTGACTATCTTGCTTAACTGCAATTTCTTTTAGGGCCATTTGGTATGGCGTTTTTTTTTTTTTCGGTAACTGAATGAAAACTTGTTTGGTCGGCCGACTCTACAAACATAAAACAAAAGCGTTACGTACACGTATACTGTGTACTGAGTGTGGTTAGTTAGTTGGCTTAATGATTGGTTAAGGCTAACCAGACTAGTGATGTGGCATTAGTTAGTAGAATTAGCAGTTAAGAGTAACTAATTGCTGATGTGTCATTTCTTGTTAAGGAAATAGTTAATAGCAATAAAGGGAATGAAGAAATAGATACTGTCATTCAATTGTAAAACAAGAAATCATTACAGAATTCTTTCTCTCAATCTTCTTCCTCAAACCTTCTCCAAGAACTCCTTGTTAAGAAAAATTCTTAACAAATTAATATCAGAGCTATTCGAGACCAAGCATGGTAGACAACAATAAGATTAGAGCTCCAGAAGAGCACAAAGAAAGCAGGTGGAGCAAATTCAAAGCATGCACCAAGAATTCCAAAAAAAATGTTAAAACTATTAAGAAGCTAATGGAAGAGCAAGTAATGGCGGACAACGAACCAAACAAGGAGCAAAGATCATCTTCGAGCTTTTCACAGGAGTTAAATCTAGCTCTAAACCGAGTTCACCATGCTAATCAAGGGGAGTCTTTGTTGACTCTTGAATTTGTGAAGTCTGGCTATAATTCTTCAATACCTAAGGTAGATTTGTTATTGTTTGAGGAAGAGAACCCACAAGGTTGGATTCATAAATGTAAGAAGTTTTTCAAAATGAATTTCATTCTTATTCATTGATGGATAAAAATTGCCTCTATGTATTTTGAAAGAAGAGCAGAAATTTAGTTTGAAAAGTTTATGGTAGAAAGTGATCTAGATAATTGGGAAGAGTTCGTTGGAGAGATGTAAAAGGTTTGGCAATAGGAAAGATGTGGTGGAGTTTAATGAACTTAATCAAGAGAGAGATGTGGAACAAGTATGTGAAAAAACTCTAAGAGCTAAAATCTTTAATGACTACAAACAATTCTCATATATGAGAGTCTTATTTTGTTTCCAAGCTTCATTAGTGGACTCAAAAAAGATGTTAAACCTATGTTAAAGATTTTGAAACTCACAACCTTGACACAAGCATTTGACTAGGTTAGATGACAAGAAGAGTTTGTGAATGCCATGACAAAAAAGTCTAGAAATCCACAAAAGTCTTTCTCAACGTACAATACTAAAAAACCATACTCAAGTTAGCATCCTACCTATAATACCAATAAACGATATTCAAGTCAATTCCACAAACCTTACATTGCCCTAGCTAGAAATGACATTACTAACCAACCTAAGCCTATAAATCCTAGTTTACCAAAAGCACAACCGAGAGAACTTGTAGGATCAAATGAGAAGGATGGAATTATGCTTTAGATATAGAAATAAGTACACTCCCAGTCATCAATGTGTTAGGAAATCATTGCATGTGATAGAAGGATCTGGAAGGGGAGAATGAAGAATTCATAGATGTAGAGGAGGGAAATGAAGAAGATGGAGTGGTAGATGAAAATAATTACAAGGAATATAGGTTATCATTGCATGCTTTAGCAGGAAAGTATGCTAACCAAACTATCAATATTATTATTATCCTAATTGATAGTAAAAGCACTCATAGCTTCATTAATCTCATAACCAAATGGTATTGTGATGAAGTCTCAAGCTAAAAGTTTGAGGCTAATGTTGTTTATGTAGGGGTATGAATTTAAGGTAGACTTGAGGATACTAAAAATGGGAGGATGTGATATAGTGCTACGAGTGGATTGGCTCCACATGTACTCTCATATATTATTTGATTTTATCAATATGAAGTTGTCATTTGAAAAGGATGGATGGATGATTGAGCTTAAGGAAATAACCAACAAGGCCAAACTACAAAATATAAGAGCTAATAAAGTGCACAAATCACTAAAGCCAATAATTTATGGTTTATTTGGATAGGTTTTTTCTATTATCGCTCGTACCGATCCAAAAGAAGTGACTATCATGGAAATAAAGGCTTCATTGCTTAAGTATGAAGAAGTGTTCGCTGAAACTAAGAAATTACCACCGAGTGAGAAAATTTGATCACGTAATTCCATTGGTTCTAGTTGTCAAACCAGATGAACTTTAGACCATATAAAAGTTTTTACATGCATAAAGAGGAAATTGAGAAGTTGGTTAAGAAGATGTTATAGAACGGATTCATTTAACCCTAATTCAGCCCCATTGCAACTCTTATGTTATTGGTTAAAAAAAAAGATGGAACTTGGAGAATTTGTGTAGATTATCGACAACTTAATAACATAACCATAAAAAACAATTTTCTAATCCCATTGATTGATGATCTATTAGATGAGCTATAAGGTTTAATTTTTTTCACTAAAATAGACTTAAGGTCAAGATATCACCAAGTTAGAATGAATGAGGTAGACATTAAGAAGACGAGCTTCGTAAATTACCAAGGACACTACAAGTTTAAGGTAATGCCTTTCGGGTTGACTATTGCTCCCACAATATTTCAGGCTATGATGAATTCAATGTTAGAATCATACCCGAGGAAACTTATCCTTGTATTCTTTTATGATATTCTAATATACAGACTCTACCTTGGAGCTACACATTAAACACCTCACAAGGGTGTTAGATGTTTTATCGAGGAACAAGCTATTTGCGAGAGATGTCAAAATGTTCCTTTTACCAAACTTAGATGGAGTATTTAGGTCATATTATCTATGGAGTTAGTGTAGTAACTCGATCCTAAAAAGATCGAGGTCGTTAGTAATTGGGCGGTTCCTAATTCGGTAAAAAAAAAAAAAAAAGGAGTTTTTTGGGTTTAGCTACTTACTATAGGAAGTTTATTCATAATTATGGTTTAATAATCAAACCATTAACTGAATTACTAAAAAAGAACAACTTTTATCGAAACGAGCAAGCATAAAAGGCTTTTGAGCAATTGAAAATAATGTTATGTGAAGCTCCTCTACTAGCCCTACCTAATTTCCATAAGCCCTTCATCTCATAAACTAATGCATGTGGCGATAAAGTAGGAGCAATGTTATCTTAGGAAGGCATACTATTAGCTTTCTTAAGCAAAGCTCCGTGCCTTAAACATTTAGGATGTCAATCTATGAAAAAGAGTATTTGACAATTCCGATGGTAGTGGATAAATGAAAGCCCTACTTAAAAGCTAACAAATTCATTATCAAAATAGATCATGAAAGTGTGAAATACCTCTTGGAGCAAAAAATTCATGCTCTAATTCAATGAAAAAAGGGCTTACTAAGTTGTTAAGATTGAGGTATGAAATTCAATATAAGAAAGGAAAGGAAAATCTAATAGTTGATGCATTATCAAGAAGAATGTCCGATCCTTATGATATTAAATCCAAGAGCAAGAATGGAACCCTTTGTACACCGACCACTATGGTACCAACTTGTTACACAAATATTAATAATTCATACCAATAAGATACTAAGTCACAAGATATTATTATTCCAAAAACTCTTCACACTAATGCTTTTCCATAATTTTATTATAATGAAGGTATATTGATGTATAAGCATATAATTTTTATTAGGAAAGATAAAGAATTGAGGATGTTATTGGAAGCTACTCATATCTCAACTATTGGTGGGCACAAAAAAGTCCATAACTCTTACAAGAGGCTTAGGGTTCCTTTTATGGTTGTTTATGAAATCAATGGTAAAGACTTTTATGGCAGGGTGTGATATTTGTATGTAAGTAAAATCTAAGAGGACGGCTTATCTAGGATTATTGTAGCCATTACTTGTTTTAGAGGGAGCATGAAGGATATTTTCATGGATTTCATAGAGGTCTCGTTAAAATCTAAAGGTAAAGATGTTATTTTAATGGTTATTGACATGTTCACTAAATATGGACACTTCATAGCCTTGTCCCACTCTTTCTCGGCCAAAAATGTGGCAAGAAAATTCACTGAATAGATTTATAAGTTTCACGGGTTACCGACTCTCGTTGTCATAGATAGAGACAAGGCATTCACCAACCTATTTTGGGAAGAGTTGTTTAAATCATTAGGCATTAAAAACTTTATGAGTTTGGCTTATTATTCTCAAATTGATGGCCAAATAAAGAGATTAAATCGATATTTGGAGACATATTTGAGGTGTATGTGTCTAGACTCGTCTAGGAAAATGGAATTGATGGCTATATTTAGCATAATTATGATATAACACCAGACTTTCATTCTGCTATATGGATGATTCATTTTCAAGCTTTGAATGGTTATCCACCACCAACTAGAGAGATTGTTCTTCAAGGTTTAATCATAGTAGCTCGTTGTCTAGGAATTGTTATAGGAAAGAAGAACTATGGATTTGTTTCTTGGAGCTCAACTAGCAAAGACTCAACATTGTATGAAGTAAATTGTTGACTAAAGATGGACATAAAGAGAGTTTGAAGTTGGAGAAAAGGTTTACTTAAGCTTCAATCTTATAGACAAATGAGTTTGGTATTATGAAGAGACTTCAAATTGAAC